GTACACAAACACTGAAGCAGAAAAACAAAAGCAGTGAGGGAAAGGCCAGGTCTTTGTGCTGCACTCCCTCCCTAATGCAGGCCAGTGGGAATGGTCTCAGAAAATGTCTGCAGGATTGTCAAGGCAAAACAGAATCCCTACTGTTTTGTTTAAATAAAAAATTGAGGATGGGCTGAATCTGGGCAGAAGTAATCTCAAGAGTGTGCTAAAACAAACTGGTCAGGGCCTGTTTCTTTATCATACRTTTGTTTACATGCTTATTGCAGCTGGTACAATACAGGCAGGAATAAATGCATCCACAGGAATATTSGTCACCTGCCAAAATGGACATTTCTTGCTCTCCCAGCCAGACTGGTATTTTGCACCTCACACCACCACAGCATTTCAGGAAGTCTTGGCTGGGAAAGGAGAGATCTGGCGGTTGGGTTTTGGTACCCAGAAATAAGGGTACCCAAGAATTTTGATACCCAAGAGCTTATTTGGGATTTTGGAGCAGCACAGTTGCAGCATGATCAGCACAGTAGCACTTTTGTCTGAAGCAGTCAGTGCATGTCAGGCATCTGGGCTAGCGTTTGTCCCTCCCTGGCTGCAGAGAGCCATGGAGACTCTGCCATCCTTGGCATTGGGCTCTCCAGCCTCAGCTCCAGCCCTGCTATCACAGGGCAGAAAAACAAGAGAAATGCCACAGCTGTCTGTGTTCACTTTTCTTCCTCCCCATGGTATCTGCCCTTTCCTCAGCCTCTCCAGCTCCTTACAAACCTTGTGCTCATGTAAAACAGTGCTACTTGCCTGGTTTTTCAGTATTTGCTGYAGAAATCCTCAGCAATTGCTTGATAAAGTGCCTTGGGCTTAAAGTTGTGATAGTCCYGCTCATGGTAAAGCCACTCGAGCAGCTCCTCATCATTCCTCACCACCTGGCCACCAATGAAGCACGTCACCAAGATGCCACACCTCACCTCTCAGTTCCTGCATTTCAGAGGGACAGCAAAGCCTCCAGGGATTAGTTAGATACTTCATGAAGAAACAGTCCTAATATCCACCACAGGTGAAGTAGCCTGTGGTATTTTTAYGCCTTTCCTACTTCTGAAACCACGAATCCTACCAACTGGAATGGACTGGCCAGCAGCTTTTGGTGAGGTGGGTCCTAAAACTCTGGATCCTGCTGCCTGGGAAATTATCGTGCCAAAAGAAATGTGAAAGTGAAGTGATCCTGTTCATCTCACAGTCCCTGTTGCTACCCTTTTGGGATGGTGGCTGGAATAAAAAGGAAAAAAGTCAAGAGGCACAAAGCCCTGCAGCTATCAGCTTGGCTGCCCTTAGGGCTGCTGAGAGATGGCAGAGCTTATCAGTTGTAAGTAATGCTGGGGAATGAGCCTGGCAGACAAACCCTGACAGGCCAGCAAGGCAGAAAGGTCAGCACTGTGCACCCTGAGGTGGGCTCTGTGTTGTGCCTCTGCCACACTGCCAAGTTTCCCAGGGAAAGCCTGCCAAAGCCTGTGAGGATTGCAGCTTCTTGCTTGCTCATTTGCACTGCCAGAGCTGCATTGAGGACTTGATGAAAGATGCAGAGCTGTGATGTGTGTGACACCTTGTACAGCAATGCACAGCTGTAATATTTCTTGGAGGTGTAGGAACTGGGTGATGAGGATGATGCAGTGCAGACCTCTCHGAGCTGAGTCCATAAAGCCTCAGTGCTGGTGCCTGCACCTGGCAGCACCAAAGAAAAGCAGAAACATGAAATTTGGAATATTTTCTTCCCAAGATCTGATGCCAGGTGCAGGCTTCAAGCCCACACCCCTCCCTGCTGTTTCCAAAGTGGCACTGGGCTGAAGCCCAGGGGCTACCTCTGCCCTGAACTTGGCCACATGGAAGACCAGSTGCTGGGGCAGCCCCACCACCATCACTGCCACAGGCACCCACAGCTGGCCCATGGCAACCTGGCCACCAYGAGTTTGAGTCTGTCAGCAGGGCCCAGCTCCTAATTTGTTGCTCCTAACAGCAACACCAGACACCAGCCCACACCCTACCCTTCATTTCTAAGCACTTCCYAAACCTAATGTAAGCAGTTTTCATCCGTGTTGGTAGTTAGAAAATGCTCCAATTCCTGTTTTCCCCTGAAGAAAGGAAAACAAGGTTACACAGAAAGCATGTTGCAGAGCAAAGGACTGAAGCCAGCTCTTTCCAGAGCTCTTGATGGATGCTGTCAGGATCACTTAAAAGAAAGGATGAAGAGYCTTTGGCTAATAGCAAATGCCCAGSCAAAAGCAGTAAGTAAAAGCAAAAACCTGAGAGAACTGCTTCCCCACTATGCTCCCAGCCTCCAGTGAGCCTCTGCTCAAGGATTTCCTGCTATCTCTGTTTAATTCCCCCTGGCAGCTCTTTTTCTTTTGAACTTCTTTGCTTTTCAGGCAAATGTAAAAATGTGGCATCCACAAGTTTCAGTGGCAAAGAGCTTTACAGCTTAATTACACCCTGTGTGAAGTGTGTGTCTCCTTTTGACGCAAAAACTCCTGCCCGCAGCTGTATTTGCTGGGCACTGCTGAGACATCATTCCTGCCAGCAGCGCGTGGACAGAGCAGTTCCAGAGGGGTCGTGGCTCCCGCAGCAAAGCTTTGTGCCACCGCGGCAGCTTCGCTCWCTTTCGGCTCGCGCAGCACGAGCAAAAGCCGCTTTGTGCGACAGCTGTAGGTTCAGCTCAGGCTTCTGTCAGCACGGCTGGCTCAGGTCACTTTTCATCTCTGAGCACAGTGAATTTTAGGAGCCACTGATGTTAGAAGTGACAAAWCTGAATTTCTGTGTAGTTTTTAAAAAATTGTGTAACTTTTCATGATGTCATGGCGCAACAGAACAATTGTCACATCTCCAGGAAAAATACATCTTTGATGCATTGAAGTCCTGTTGCATATGACACAGTTGTGATTTTCATGCAAAACAAACCTGCTGAATTTAAAAAACCCAAACCAATTGATTTCTCATCTTAATAACAATGTGCATTTTCCCCCACAGCTGTATATCCTACTGGCTTTATAAAGTGATACATTTTTATATAACCAGAGTCAGAACTAAAAAGCCCATAGCTTCTTAGCCAAATGTTGCTAAATTACAYGTGTCTATAAAAAACCCACACTGAGAAAGAAATCACAGGTTGCAGACAGGCCTCCTCCAGATAGCCCTGAAGTCTCCCTGGTCTGGCTTAGTGCTAGTTTCCTACAGTGATTCATTAGGGCAATGTTATTTTAAGAWTTTTTTTGGGATTTGCAGCAATGCTGGATTTGAAGAGCCCCATCCTTGCAATATCAAACCTGAAGATGATCAGATTCTCAAGGTTTAGCTACAACAGCTGCTCCCTTGCCTGAAAGATCTGTGCATAAGATGTTATCATTTCATGTGATGATGTTCTACTGAAAAAATGTAGAAAAATTAGGCAGACAAAACAGTTTGGACAAGGAGACATGTTAAAATGGTAAGACAAGGCAGTTTTAATTCCCAGCCAGGTCCTGGGTGGCAGCAGATGAGCTGATGTGTGACAGGAGGTAACTGCAAGCAGCACATGCAACTGCAGGGATGTTTTGTGGGCTGTGACTCAGTGATGCAAAGGAAAGCCTTTTCCTTCCCCCTCCCAAACRTCGGTAGCATGGCTGCCAGAGCCTCTGCAGGCTGTAAGCTAAGCAGAATCTAATTTTGGTAGCCAGAACATATGGCTTCTGCTATAGCCCAGAAAAAGTCTATAGCAGGCTTATGTAAAGTCCAGAGGAGAAGCAGCTTGAGTCAAGCATAAAATCAGTAAAGCTTCAGAAAATACTCTCTCGGCTGTCTATTTTTYCCCACATCCATATTTTTAGCTTGATACAGATTAATAGAACTGAAGTTTATTTGGCCTTTTGAAACATCTTTTTTTCTCCCTTTTGCACCAGAACACTTCAGGATTAAACCCAGAGCAATCCACTACATACTATTTTTTAAAAAAATCCTGAGATTGATGTCTGCATGTTGTAATTGTTCTTAAATTTATACACAAATTGTGTTATTGGAATTTAATTCTGTACATACATAGGACTGGGCTCCTGTCAAGCCTTCTTCTTTGAAAAAAAAAAACTTTTTTTTTTACTGATAATTTCTCGGCATTCTTACTGTGATAGTGGGCAAAAAATGGGAATTAATTATAAATGTACTGGTAATAGTTGAAAATCAAAGTCAAAAAGTAAAGCAACAATTCGCCTAAGAAGCATAACAAGCATTAACAGGACTGTTTTCTGAAAATTTATGTTGAGTGTTTTTTTAAAACAAGAGTATGCCAAGAACCACCAATTATTTGTTGTCTCAATCTATTCTGGTTTTYATTTCTCCTTATCTCATCACTTGGTTATTCAGGTATATTAAATTCTATTCAACAGGTTGCCAATAATGAAAAGGATGTATGCTAAAATCCTGAACTGGGTGACTAACATTGATTTCAGACTCTWTTACCTGTTTATGACAACATGATATTGTTCTGCAAGCCTGTTCATGGTACTCAGATGAGCATAAATGTTTTGCAGGTGATGAGTYAGAAGTGAATTTGCTGTGCTGTTCTGCTTGCCAGCTCTGGCAGATGTGCTGTGCTGCATTCAGGTTTGAGAGGAAATAAATTACCACAAAGGAAAGTATGGAAAGCACACAAGGTTGTGCAGTACCTTTAAACAATGATACTGAAAGCCTTTCAAAGGTTGTGCAGCAATGCTTTTGGAAACTTGAAGTACTTTGAAGAGTGCATACCCTGACACAAGGCCCAAGAATTTTGCTTCTGTGTGAATCTCAGAAAGTTTTCTTGCTCCAGCCTCTCCACCTGATGCAGCTGCAGTGGTTTCAGTTCCTTTYAGTCCAATATAGCATTTGAAAAGGACTGAGAAACAGAACAGAAAGCAGACAGAATTAATGAAAAAAAATTACATACACGCACACRTATATATACATACACATTTGAGAGRGACMCYCACAKGATGGCACYGAAGGAGAGCTGCTAGASGTCACCCAGATGGAGACATCTTGGTAAAAGGCAYGTAAAATCACAGGATGGGTCAGACTGGAAGGGACCACASAGGGTCATCTAGTCCAACCTCCCTGCTCAGGCRGAGYCATCCCAGAGCACATGGTACAGGATTGCATTCAGACAGTTCTGGAATGTCTCCAGTGAGRGAGACTCCACAGCTTCTCTGTCAATGTCTTCCAGTACTCGGTCATTCACRCAGGAAAGAAATTCTTCCTCATGTCAGAAAAATTTGCAGGACAGGGTAGGAAGTTTGCTAACTAAAGCAAAACTCTGCTTCCTGCTGTTCCAAAGATACTTTCAATCAGGCAGGGTTAAATTATTAGCTAGAAATGAGCAGTGAGCATACCACAGTGCRATGCTGAGAATATGCCTGGATGGGTTTTTCCATTTGGAAGAMTTGCTTAGGACAGATATGATCAGTAGTCCCTCTGTTGTGGAAAACCATTTATTGTTACCATGTTTTATAGAGGATCTGAAAAGGGATAGAACATAGAGAACTGTGGTAGTTCACAGGACTGCAACTCTGCAAGAGGCAGACTCTTTAATTAGTCTCCAATGAATAGAAAGATAAAGAGGTCAYGAAATCATAGCTCTGGAGAGTATGGCATTACCTATTCTTTGTTCTTGGAGAGAACCTGCAGTGCGGAAGGACTGGGAAAAAGCCTGCATAGATGGACTTTTGACCATGTGGAGATAAGCGTACCCAGGAAGCACCCTTGACTGCTCCCATACTCCAGGGCACACCTGCTTTGCAAACCGGCCTCCTCCCAGCCACTCCCAACTCACTCAGCTTCTCCTGGATAAGGACACTTAAACACAGGATACTGTCAGAGTCTACAGCAGAGTTGGAACACATGTGCAGCTAGGAAATGTACCAGGCTGCTGTGCTCACACAGGCACTGGGTTGGTTGGTGATCAGGAATGACTCCCATAATAGCTTTCAGTTGAGGTGAAGTGGGGAAAGACTGAAAAACGCACATCCAAGCACACCAGGATAGGTACTAGCAAACACCAGCCATGACCTTCACCATGATTACTAACCACCTACAATAGTAAAATGAGTCTTTCATAAACAAAGAGATGCAAACAAAACTCTTCCTTAACAACTGGCAAGATCAATGCCAGGCTCAATAGCCTTGATTTTAACTTGTGAATAGGCATTCAGTGGGACAGAGGTTGTGAGGAGATAGGAGTCATCTCCTTTTGCTCTTAGATGCTAAAAGGTAATTGCTGTACAACCCCTAGTAGTGCTTTCTTTAGTCCYCCTGAGCAGAAGAGAGAGCATAAACCAAGTGTTTAAAAAAACCTTGAAAAGTTACACCTGTTRAGATGAATCTTTTCCTACTGGTAGGATCATTTGCTTTCACAACCCATATGAAATAAATACTCTGATATTCATCTATGAAAAAACAAGTTGCTGGACTGGAAGGCCAGGTAGGGGAAATACACAATAGGCAAATACAGGCTTCAGAGTGTGTTTGCTTTACCTGTCAGGGATTTATTTCAACTTGCACCTGGAGAGCCAACCAAAATCTTCCAAAAAAGCCAAAATCTGATAAACTTGCATTTTGGGGAAAAAAAAAAAAAAAGTGAAATCCTATTAGAGTTTAACTACACTGGGTAACTTACGAATGAAGCAGAGGAAACACACAATGGTGTTAAATGCTCACAAAACCGGATCTTTCTATAGTCCTCTTACTGCCCTGCATTTATGTCTAAAACCTTAATCTCATTTTAACATAGTAAGCAGTGAGACGGATTTGCTAGGATTAGTCTATGAGAGAAAAAAAGAAGTTAAGGTGTTTACTGGCTGACAGAGCTGTTCTGAAACGTAGTTTTTAAGGGATGCATTTTTTTTTCCTAAATAATTCTTAGCGGCAGCTGGACAGAAAAACAAAGCTTTGTTTGAAGGAGTTTCCTTTAAAATTCAAAGCAATCCTAGACTTCAGCTGTAGCCTTAAAATGCACACACAGAAAACAGATTCAATTTCATCTTTTAACAGAAATGCATTCACTAGAGAGGAAGCAAATGGTGTCCAAAAAGCAACATTTGTGGTATGAGAAGGCACGCCAGCTTCTTGAGTGCAAGCTACAATATGTGCTGACAGCTTAAGCAATGCAGGGTGCAAGATTAGTCATTGCCGTGCTATTCACAGCAGCTTGTTTCCTCACTGCTAATTTGCAGAAGAGCATAACACAATTCCGAACACAAAACTTCAGGTTTTTTAGTTATAGGGAAATCATTGAGAAAGCATTATGTGACAGTGTCTTGGGTAATTGTAACATGGAACTGAATCCTGCAAGGATAACTGCAGGATTTTTTTTTTTWATCTGCATGATAAACAAAATATAATTCAAAAAAGGGAAGTATTGAACAGTTACTTTACTGGTAGCCTTAGAATTTAYCTTGTAACCCATTTTTAAGCATTTCAGGATTCCCAAATATATGGCAGAGAATGAATACAGTGCAAGTTCCTGTAAATTTCTGACCAGACAGTAGTCTGGCTGTACTGTAAAGTGTTCTAGATAAAAGCARTTTTAGGATGAAACTGCCAGAATGCTTACTGTAAGCTTATACAATTATTCAGCAAGATTGTCTTAACTGTTGTAACAGGCTTTACTGATTTGTTTATCTGCTCTTACAGCATAAGACTTCAAGCTTCTCAGGCAGAACTGCAGAATATGCTGGTTCACTTTCGTGGCAGAAAGTATGCAAATTTTATTTCTCTATTCTGAGAGGGAAGGTGAAAAGCCTGAACAGATCTTTGCTGTGGGATGGCTTGTTGCTTTTTGGTTTTTTTGTTTTTTTTTTTCCATTGATTCATTCCCACTGTCCACCCTTATCATAATCCATTTATATAAAAGAGATCCAGTACTTTGAAAAAATAGAGATACTTAGTCAAACTTCTGCAGCATGCAGTCAAGAGTGGGCCAATGAGGTCTGGACATGGAACAAAGGATATTATAAAAAATGTGGATAATTTTGCTTTTAAATTTACCATTTTTTTAGATTTTTCATTTGTTGTAACATAAAACATCAATGTAAATCACAAGTATGACATTTTAAAGCTGATATGACAGTTAAGCATATTCTTTTACGTAACAGTGGCATTTTATCTGGATTTTAACACACCACTCCAACCAAGCAAAGTGTTACTAGTAGTTAAACCTGAAAACACAAAGCATGTATTTTGGCATTTTATTACAATATCAAATCCTTTTTGTTAACAGTCAGTTATTGAAAACAATCTACACACATCTAATTTAGTCAACAAAAATAGTTGTACAACTTTAAGTGATGTGCCTCATTTATGTAACACACTATGCTCTGCAGTGGCTCTTCATCCTTTAAGTCCTCACATAAACAATTACCAGTCTAACATATATTAAACTAAGATTACATTCTTCTCTCAAAAGTACAAAAAATAACTCTTTAAATATACAGTAGCTCCTAAGCTTTGACAGAATCCTGTCAGGAAGAGAGTTCTGCACTTCAATAGACAGTGCCTTCAACATCGAGAGCTCTTCAAAGTGCTTGGCAGAGTGGGTGAACACTATCCCCACTTTCTAGATGATGAAATAAGGCACAGAAGTCAACTACCTTGCCCACACTCACACAGAGAGTGAGTGGTAGAACTAACAGAGCAGAATTTGGGGGTTTCAGTTCTCCAGTGTAACCACCACATCTCACTGCCACTATTCAAGTGCAATGGCTTAAACATTTCTGAGGAGCAATTGTATAGCACACAGTAAACAGAAGGGAAGATTCAGAGCCGGTTAACGACTGCAACAGTTTCAACCCAAACCAAATAAATTTGGTAGTCAGTAACTCATAATGCACTTCAGGGAATGATTACATAGAGAATTATATATTAACCTGCAGAGAGAAAGCTCATTAAACATAAGACATGTGGTGTTAGCTTTGCAAAAAGTACTGGTTGTCTTAATCTTAACAGTAGCTCTGGTAATGTTAAGTTTGTCAGAGAAGTGGTACTTTCTGATCAGCAGATGTCGTAAACATTGTTCTCCTACCAGCAAGGTGCACTTCTCCAGAGAGTCACACAGAAATGCATAGAAGGGCTACATATCTCCTCAGTAGGCAGAGATGTGTATGAGGCACAAAACCCCACATTAATTGGTTGTGAGGTATGGACTAAGTGGTAAAGAAATACTAATCCGGAAAAACAAAATACTCTAAAATAAATAAGGTTAAGAATACTGAGTCACCCATCTAAAATCACCAAGAAATGCATCTTCAGATAGCTTATGTTGCAAAAAAAAACCCCAGTGTGACATGTCACACATGTCCTGCTTGGATGAGAAGCATTGTCTSGCCCAGCCCTCTGCTGACAAACAAGCATTTCAGAAAGCCTGTCCTTGGATAGGATGCTCATGAGATGACTCATTTACTGACAGAGGCTGCTGATGGGATTCAGAAACCTGTACACTTCGATTCTGTTCTTCACTGACTTGATGGGAAGGAACTCTATCTTGGCTAGACTGAGACTGCTGACTTGATTCCTGAGCCAGCTGCACGTGCTGAGCTGGATGCGAAGGTCCTGCTAAGTGGATTTGTTCATTTTGTCCTTGATGAGCATGGAGATGTTCTAGTGCTTCCTTGGAAAGAGTGATGACATGCATTTGTTCAGGCTGGGCAGCCTCTATTTGGTTTGCAATCATATTGATAYTTTGGATTTGTTCTGCCTGCTCCTGCTGAGCTGAAAGCAGTAAGTTTTGCAGCTGCTGTGGTGGCTGTGCAAGCAGTGTGAGGTTCGCAGCCTGCTCTGTCGTCATGCTGGGGGCATTTTCTGCAGTCACAATACTAATGCCTTGATTGTGGCTGGGCATGAAGTTGATGTTGTGCACTGCATCCGTAACCAGCAGCTGAATTTCCTGCCCTCCGGAGGTGGCAAGCTGGTACTGCTGCAGCTGGAGAATRTTTCTCACTTCTTCCGGATGCGGGTTGGTGCTCGGAGCAGAGCTGRCTTCCTGGAACTGCTTTTCCTTGCTGTGAATTTTCAAATGAGACTTCAGATTGTCCAGACGAGCAAACTGCAAACTGCATTCTGGGCACGAGAAAGGTTTTTTGCCTGTGTGTAAGATACAGTGTCTTCTCTTAGCACTGGAATCAGAGAAGGATTTTCCACATATACCACAAGAATATGGCTTTTCTCCTCTGCAAAAAGAGAAAATTTCATCTCATTAAAATATTCACTTTGACAATGCTGCTTTCTTAAACTTRTTCTGTAATGAAATACTTAAATGATTACTTTGTTTTTCTAAATTGTAAGTACTTAAAGGGTAGTGTCACTATAAACATCCCCTATTTCACCTCCTGATTATTTCTATTTGACTTCATAAATTGTACAATTAGTACATACTCCAGGGCTACAGAGATAACTGCCTTCCTCTCATAAAACCACAGGTACAAGCTGTGTGCTGCTAGACCTTGACAAGAATGCAACAACTTACTTAGCACAATTCTAAGCACTGACCATTTTAAGAACTTTTACTAACAGAGTGGGCTTTAAAACAAAAAGAAGTGTCCAAATCCTAACTTGCTGCCTGTGTCAAAAGGACAAGAACTGTTACTGGAAATGTTTTTTTTATACAACAGTTCTCCAGTGCTTTAAAATCTAACGTGCCTTTATGCAGTGCATCACACCGACAATAGTAAAAGACAACCAATGCGATTAAAGAGACAGGAGAGATCACAGGGTAACAGGAAAATGCTCCAATAACCTTGATACACCTTGGCTACTGTTCTGCTGTCAAACAAAAATTCACTGTAAAATTTTCACAAAAATAATACAGCAGTAAGTACATTGTCACTGAACAGACAAAACACCAAAGAGGACTCTTACAATATCTTGGCACATGAGTATTTAGCACTTCAGTACTTTCCACTACCAATTTTTTCCTTATAGGTTGTGCAAAAATGTTAAGTTTTAAATAATTATTCAAAATGCAAACAAGTCCTGACCATTCTATAACTGAACAAGCACTACATACAGATTAAAAATTAGAAGTTACATTTATAAAGAATGTAATGAGATTCAGACATAACTTTACCTGTGAATTCTAATGTGAGTCTGAAGCGAACTTTTAGCTGTAAATGATTTGCCACAAATCTCACAAGTGAAGGGCTTCTCACCTGTAAAAAAGAAATGTGACTTTGCTTTTTAATAGCACTTGTCATCGGTATATTAAAAAGCATTTTGTATTTTCCCATACACAGTATCAAGTGTGCACTGTCAGCTCCTCATGCTTCTGCCATGGGTCAGCACAGATATCCAAAACTGAATGAACTCACCAGTCAAAATAAGGGCATAATATATTAAATGTACACCTCTGGCATTTCTAACCTTTGAAGATGAAAAATTAGGTGATCCAAGCCCCCAAAGCAACAAAAAGCTGTACCTATGAAACAGATGCAGGTGTTCCATGTGGAACAGAAATGCTTTGAAAAAGGCTGTCCCTGAATCCGTAGGCATTAATGCCAGGTGCCCGTGCAGCACCATGCAGATGAGTAAGCCCAAACTTCCAAAGTGGGAAAATTAATCYATTACCTTAATAACTTGCCTGGCTTTCTATACTGCTCCATCACACTAGGCCTATGATGTTCTGGGAACATCAGTTAGAAAAAAAATTATGGTGARTTAAATAAAATGTGAGTTTGTTTGGGGATTTTTTGTTTCTGTGTTGGGGTAGGCAGTTTAGTGCAGTTGGAATTCTGATGTCTGATTGAATAAAAGCAGAGAGACCAAATTAAATTATAAGAAGGTTCACAAGAAACAGATACTTCCCAACCAAAGCAAATCCTAATTCACACCATAACAGGTCCTTGTTGCATTGGGGTTCTTTAAGTCACCAGACACGAGAATCCAGATCACCACTGTGGTAATTCACACCATCAAAGCACACCAAACCCACGAATTGGGCAGCAGCCAATTTCCAAGGAAGCTCCACATTTATCATAGAACTGCAATGCTTACCAGCTTCCTTGTGGCTTTGGAGGGCATGGATAAAGGATGAGAGAACAAGAAACATTTGTCAGAAGGGACCTCTGGTCATCCAGTCCCAGCCTGCTCCTGAAACAGGAGTAACTTCCCAAGTAAACTGTATTATTCTGACACAGTGTTACCAAACTGCTGCCAAAGGAGAACAGTTGTATCAATGTTAACCTGTCTCCCAAATGCCTTGGAATTTTACTTTGCTTTTGGGATGGGACAGATTAATCATTATTTCTACATAATTAATACTGGTCTCTCACCTGTCTTTTCTGGAAGCAAAATATATTRGAAGCCAGTTTCTGCTAAAACTCAGCTTAGCCCAGATATTTTTGCATCTTACCTTGCTAGTACACTTGCTCTTCTCATTTCCCACACCAAATTWATTTCCCACTAGATTTAGAGAGCTGTATCAGCTTCAGATACAAAACTGTTGTGTGTGTCAACACTGTGTTCTCCTCAGTACAAAATGGTGTAAGTATCACAAGCTAACACTATSCAAAAGCTCCCAGAAGCACTAGTTTTAACCTCAGCATTATCTCAGAAAATGTAAAGCTGTATTATTTTCACYGAGAAAAGAGGAGGAAGATAAAGTATGCTCTAGACTAAGTTATGTATTACAACTGCAAGCAACATGCTTAAGAATAATTCTAAACAATTGCCACTGTTTCTAGTTATCTTAGAAGCCAAAATTAGTCACACAAAATTTTATCACCTTATGAACTTATTCTTCAAAGGAAAGTATYTTACAAAGAAGAGTTTAATGCTCTTGTTTTTATGAGAGGATAGATCAACATTTTTATCTCTCTTATCCAGTGATTCATTACCAGCTTGTCCTCTAAATCTCTTAAAACGCTCTCTGACGCACTTGCATTAAATCATCCCTCCCAGCCCATCTCCTCTCGACATCTGCTTTATTACAGCACAATAAAAAGGTAAATGGAAATAATTCTTTTYTTCTGGTCACAGCACATTTCATAAGCACCCATCCCTCACAGACAGAGGTGCCTAACTTGTTTAGGACAGACACTTCTGTTCCTTGTCAGCTCACTGCAAGTCCAATACATGCTGGATACAGCTCTCCTGACAAACTGAATCCCCAGTCCAGGATTCAAGCACAGGAAAGCTAACTAGTATATTCTGCAGCAGGCTTTATAAAACTGGGAAAAAAGCTCTTTTCCTGTAATAGGCACTGCTTCTGTGCTGCTGTAACACAAGCTTTTTTTGTGCTCCTGCATTCCTGATGTCAAATCTCTTCATTATCAGAGACATCACTGCGTACAAGTAGAGCAGAAGTTCTTTCCACAAAGACAAGTGTAATTTGCCTAACATTTTGTCCATGAAACTTAAAAAAATAAACCAGACCACAAACCCCACCAAACCCAAGGTACATTACCTGTATGTGTTCTTAGGTGCTTCTTTAGCTGAGCTGCATCCATGAATTTGCGACGACACTGGGTACATTCCGGCAGTGAACGGCCTTGTCGCAATAATAAAAAAAGTGTCAGTGCATAAGTGATCCCCTGTATCTCTTCAGTGTTCTCTGTTAAAGCACTTTCCTGTAAAATAACCACTTTGATATAATATAGAGATAAAACAAAAGGTGATTCACTGCCTTCTCCCTATTTTAACTGTCACACTCCTATTTCTCTAATTTCCACAGGAAAAGAGGGGGCTGACACCTGCTTCTGCCCAAACACACCTTCTCTTGAAGCTTTGTAAATTCTAATTTTCTCCACTGCTTCCTGTGTGCACACTTCCTAAAGCTTGTTTGCCATTACTAGTCCAAAGCAGTSGGCAACTATAATGCAATTTGCATRCCAGGCAGCAGACACAATTGCTTGTACAATTCTTAGCTTCTCTGTAGTGTGGACAGCAGGGCTAAAATAATCGAGGTGCATGTCAAATAGTGACAATGTAACTAAATTTTCATCATCTTAAGAGCCTTTCTCAATTAATTTATTTTCTACACATTCCATTTACTATACACCATTTTGCTCAATTAACTTATTTTCTACATATTTCATTTACTATACAGCATTTTGTCTTTTTCACCTTATCCACTGTTAAATCCAGACAGGACACATTAAGGTAGCAGAGACTAAATAGATCACTGAGGAAGAACTTTCAGCCTAAGTCAATCCTTAGGAAGACAAATCAGCATGGACTGTAAGCCAGGTCCTCAGCCCAAACTTATTATACCTGTGTGTACTCGATAGTGGCTCTTGAGCTGTCTCTTTTGGCTGAAGAATTTCCCACACTGATCGCATGTAAAAGCCTTCTGCCCTGTAGAGAAAAATCACTCATTAAAACATAAGCCACATCCAAATCAAGTGTAAGGAAATAATAAAATACACAAGCCAGCACACACAAGACAGAGCAGGGGTACCTTTTCAGAAAGGTGAATTCTAGGAGCAGAGAGCTACATTGGCCATGAAGTATTTACCTGAATGMAGGCTCATGTGCTCCAGAAGAGAATGCTTTGTTGTCAGAGCCTTACTGCAGACAGTGCATGTGTAGGGCCGTTCCCCGGTGTGCATTCTCTCATGAACTTGAAGAGAATGTTTCTGGGAAAAACCTTTCCCACACTCACTGCACTTAAAAGGGCGCTCCCCTGAAAGCAAAATATAACATTTTTAGGTATAGATGCATCATTTCTCGCTAGATATTCTAAGCTGATAGTGAGATGCACTGCAATGTTGTAGCTACTGAAAAATATTACTCTTGATTAGTGGTAAAGAGACAAGCTTCACATAGGAATAAAAGAATTCTTTAACTGTTGCCATATAATTCAGCGCTTAAACAGTGAAATCATTAATTAAACGGCAATCAAGGTGAGAGATAAAGGTGCTGAGATTCTGCTGACAAGAATAAAACAGCAAATACAGGAGACACGCTGTAATTTGGATCAGCATGCTATTTCAGATAGTTCTTGCTGTAATCAACAGCCAACATTTCAACAGTCACTTGCATTTGGCAACATCCCTAAACCCTAACTGAAGCAGTCTCAGCATGCCTACCTGTATGRCTTCGCTGGTGAATAGCCAAGAAGTGATTATATTTAAATACTTTGCCACAGTCTTTACAGCGAGCTTCAGAACCCGCACGTTTTTTTTTCCCATCAGTTCTCTTTGCCAGTCCTTTCTCATCCTCATCCCCAAGAAGTTTATAATCTTTTAGTTTGATTGATCTCCTTATTCTCCGTTTGCTGTAACGGCTCTGAGTGCTCTGTATTCCTTCAGACTTGGGATCGTAGTTTTCATCTTTCTCAGTTGACAGATCAACAGGAGCCTCTGAGCCACAAGCAGGTTCCGTTTCTTCTWCATTCTTCCTCATGAAAGCCTGTTCACTAGCAACTGTTTCTTCTACAGCAGTGTCATTTTTAATAAAATTTTGCTTATTTTGCATGGAGTTGTTCTCTCTCAGCTGCCCATCTTCAGCAGAATTYGCTCCTGATTCTTCTTCTTCCTCTTGGATGACCTTGATTTTCCTTGGTCGTCCCCTTTTCCGCTTTGGTGGATCATCATTTTTCTTGTCACYTGCAACAACACAGGCTCCACTGTCAGCTGGAGCTGGCAACATGCTACCTGGGCTGCGGCTTCCCAGGTAGTCTGTACAGGCCCATACCAAGTCAGTCACTTTCAGCAGCTGTGCAGTAGCCAGGATTTGTTCTGTGCTTTTCTCACTRGCACAGAGGCAACCAGTATAGATAAATTCTAGCAGAACTCCAAAGGTGTCTGCAACCATTCCCTCCAACATGTAAATTGACTGCCCTATTTCACCTTCATTTACAAACATCATTGAGAAGTATTCGCTGCTGGCAGCCAGCAAAGCTTTATGRGCTCTGAAATGCACATTCTCCACTATCAGAGTAATGTCACAGAGAAAATCCTTTTTTCTTTGCTCCTCAAAATTAGCTAGAATGGTATCTTTGTGAGCTTTGGAGTGGATGATGACCAGTTTCTCAGAAGCATCAGCTGTTTTTGCCATTTTAGTGATGAATATGRGAGGAGGTGCCTAGAAAAACAGAATAGTTTTTGAGAAGAATTATTTTAACACTTGGCATTATAAGACACCAAGTATCATTTGTTATACCAGTAGAGTTCAAGAGTTTCTGAAGCAATTCTCAATCCCCCAAACTTTTGAAAAATCAACACTATTGCTGACATGAAGTTTCTTCAAAGGTATTTTTAAATCTGGTGAAATGGCTACAGATAGTTTCTTGGATCAGAATTACTGCCTATCATTTTTTTATCTCTGATGTACTGTRAACTCCAGTGTATCTAAAAAAATTGCTACACCATCTTCTGAAACTAAAACAATCAGACAAAAAGAACTCCTTGTTCACATCTCCTTAGCAGAGAACTGGGTTTGCATGGCAAGGTTTTGACTGCAGGCCAGCTACTGGAGTATCTTCTGTGAGAAGCCGCCAGAAGCTTCCCCCATGTCCTACAGAGCCAACACCAGCTGCCTCCACCTCTGGCCAAGGTTGAGCCCATCAATGATGGTGGTAACACCTCTGGGGTAACAGATTTAAGGGGGAAAGAAACCTGCACAACTGCAGCTGAACAGATGACTGAGAATATGTGAGAGCAGTGGCCCTGCAGACACCAAGGCCAGTGGAGAAGRAGGGGGAGGAGGTACTCCAGGTGCCAGAGCAGAGATTTCCCTACAGCCCCTGGTACAGGCCATATTGAGGCAGGATGTCTCCCTGCAGCCCATGGTGGAGCATAGATCCACCTGCAACCCCTGGAGGACCCCACATCAGAGCAGGTGGATGCCTGAAGGAGATTGTGACCAAATGAAAAGCTCACACTGGAGCAGATTCCTGGCAGGAACTGTGGTCCTGTGGAGAGAGGAACCCAAACTGACACAAGTTTGCTGGCAGGACTTGTGACCCCACGGAGGACCCACACTGGAGCTGCCTGTTCCTCAAGGAGTGCAGCCTGTGCACGGGATCCAAGGTGGAGCAGATGAGGAGTGTGAGGAGTCAAAGGAGCATCAAAGACAACGTGCGATGAACTGCAGTCCCCTCTCTCCATCCCCCTGCACTGCTGGAGGGAGGAGGTAGAGAAAACAGGGACTAAAGCTGAGCCTGGAAAGAAGGGAGAGGYGAGGTGAGCTGTTTAAAGATTTGGGTTTATTTCTCATTATCTGAGAGTGATTTCATTGGTAATAAAGTAATTTCCTCAAGTCAAGTCTGTTTTGCCTGTACTCGAAACTGGTAAGATCACTCATCTCTCCCTGTCCTTATCTTGACCCATGATCTTTTATTATAGTCTCTGTCCCCCAGAGGAGGGGAGYGATGGAGTGGCTCTGGTGGGCACCTAGCGTCTAGCCAGCATCAACCAACCACATTGGAAACAAAAAGATCAACTGCAGTATGATCAAGGCAGATTATTCAGGGACAAGACTATGAAATCCTGTAATAAATTACAAAATTTTACTGGTATCAATATAGCAGGACTTCACTACTTCGTTTACCCACATCTATCCTCCTGGAAATTTCTCTTTTTTAACACTTTATCCTACTAAGCTTCAGCCTAAGGAGGCAGGCAATACAAGCAGAAAACAGCAGCATTTTGAAGGGCTCTGTCTAAAATAGGGTTCTTAATTTGACTTGCTACGCTTATTTAGTAAATTTGCAAAAATTATTACCTAACAAAAAAAATAGAGCAAGTTCAGAAGAATCTACCACATATTATGAATAAGATGTGTACAAAATATTCTATTTACCAGGCTCAGCTAARCCAAAGATAGAACAGATTAGCTACCTATTATCCTAATTTATACCAGTGTCATRTTAAACACACATAAATTTGCATATTTGTACCTAGTTTCAAATCACAACAGTTTCAATCGCCTGAACATATGCTTCACAAAACAACTACCTACAGATGATACCTAAATGCTACACAAGACACTATCTACAGATGATACCTAAATGCTACTGAGATGGTGGAAAAGGGATTGTTTAGCCCTACTCAACTACCAAATAGTTCATGGTTGAGTGAAACTTTCATTTGGGAGCTTTAATTTCCGGAGCATGTGAGCCTGATGTTTGTTGCTGGAGCACGTTAAAGCACAGCTGCAGGTGTGACCCAATCTGCCTTACCATGCATTACAAGAATTCTTGAACAGCTGCTGCCAACTCTGCCTGCAGGCACCCCCTAACATCCACACGTGTTTTGAGTTCTGATCACATGAACKACTTCGGTGTTTAATTAGGAGGTGACAGCATTAATATTTGGACTGCAAAACCCAAATCACCCGCCTTCCCTGAAACCCCTCACCATTCTAGAGTGAGGCTGTACTCRAGCAGAAGGCCCCACGCTGCCGGCCCAGCGCTCGGATACACGCTCCCGTCCAGCCGTGGAAGGGCTCAGGAGCTCCCGGGAGGTGAGCCYGGGGAGCAGCGCACGGCCCGGGGCTGGGCCTCGACACGGGCACGGCCAAGGGCACAGCGCGGGTCGCCGCCCCCCGCGCACCGTGTGAGCTCCGAGCTCGGTTCGTGTCTCCCCTCAAGGCAAGGCCGCTCGCCCCTCGTGGAGCGGGGTCAAGGAGAGAGCGCTGCCCCRGGAAAGCCGCGGGCCCGGATCCCCCCAGCCCGGCTGCAGCCCGCCCTGCCCGGCACTCACCGCTCGCCGCCGGCCCCGCTGCGCCGCCGCTGCACTTCCGGGCCGGGGCTGGGCCGCGCCTGCGCTGCCGCCAGGAGCGCTAYACGGGCGGGACTTGGAGCCGCGGGATCACAGAACATCCTGGCTCGGACGGGACCCATATGGATCATCCGATCAGCTCCCGGCCCTGCCCAGAACAGCCCCCAGAATCACACCATGTACCAGAGAGCGTTGTCCAAACGCTCCTTGAGTTTAGTCAGGTTGCTGCTGTGCCCACTTCCCTGGGGAGSCTGTTCCAGTGCCCAACCATCCTCTGACTAAAGAACCTTTTCCTATTATCTAAACTAAGCTTTCCCTGCACAGCTTCAGGCCATTCCTTCGGGTCCTGTCACTGGTTACCACAGAGAAGGGATTAGTGTCTGCCCCTCGTCTTCCTCTCATGAGGAAGTTAYAAGTTAAATGAGGTCTCCCCTCAGTCTCCTCCAGGCTGAACAGATTAAGTGCCCACAGCTGCTTCTCATACAGCTGCCCCTCAAGGCCCTTCACCATTATCACAGCCCTCCTTTGGATGCTCTCTAGTAGCTTTATCTCTTTCAACTTCAGACAAAAAATTTTATTTCTAAGATTTTATGGTTAAAAAATGGGCCTGAAAAGGCACAATGTTCACAAGCCACATCGCATCCATACTGGTGCCTGAGGGCAACGCTCCATGTGCTAATCAGTGGGAATACAGGGTTTACACAAAAGTGGGGCGGGTGCCTTTCAGGGAAAAAAAAGTCTGCAGCTTATCATCAAGGCCAAGGGGCCGATCTTTTGGCTCCTTATAAGGGCCCATCATGGCAGTCCCCAGGTAGGGGAGGAGTTCGCAATGTTCCACAAACTGCAACAGCTTCTTCCTGTACATCTGCCGCACTGGCTCCGAGTTCTGGGGGTTGTGTGCTGCAAGAAATGAAGCAGCAGGTTAGTGTCCCGTGTAGACTTTGTGGAATTATATTACAGAAATTTTCAAGAGGACCACAATGTGAAGCACTTTGATCAAATTTGTGATCAAGAATGGTGTSACTACTCTGAAGAGTTGCCCAATAATAAATAATGCTATATTAGTAACAAATCAGAAAATCACAGGATGGGCCAGGTTGGAAGGTATCACAGTGGGTGATCTGGTCTAACCTCCCTGCTCAAGCAGGGTTAGTTATTCTGCATATGGCACAAGGTTGTGTCTAGATGGCTTCTTGAGTATTTCCAGTGATGAAGACTCCACAACTTCTCTGGGCAATCTGCTCCAGTGCTTGATCACTCGCACATGAAAGAAGTTCCTCCCTGTGTTCAAGTGCTTTGTGCGTGTACAGGAATGCTATATCTTAAAGCTGGAAGCAGTTCTACCCAGTTCTAGAAGAAGATAACTTGTTTTCCTGGATTCCTATGGTCAAACTGTTGGGCATTGTATGAGGAGATTTCTGCACTTGCATAACCTTTCTGGTTCATCATCCACTGCTAATAATGATTTAATGTTACAATATATGAGCAAAGCACTCCTAGCATGGACATCCTTATGTTAGCAAAGCTGTGCTAACAATAGAATGARAACAATCTTTGTGGATGAAGCAAACTACAGTATAAAAGCAGTTTGGTGGCTTAGGAACTGTACATTTATGCAGGGGCTTACCATGTGCCTGCCCTGTTCAGTGGTCTTAACAAAGCTATGCTAGCAAAAGATCTGTGATAGTTCAAGAGAATTCCGGAGGACTCTGGAAACTATATGAGGAAACACAGAATGTGAAAAAAATAATAAATATTGGTATAATCTARAAAAGTAAGTCAAAATGTAAAATACTGAAGGCCAGGTGAAGTGCACCCAGCGAACAGGTTGGCTTCTAAAAGACAAAATTGGTGGGTTAAAAGAAATGTCAGTCTTGCTCCAGAAATCTCCAACAATACTGGAAACCAGACCAAAGCTATAGCAGAGCTACAAACAAGGATGTTGAAATCAAGAAAGCTGGCACTAGTTAAGCTGATTGCAARCTATTAAGGATTGCAACTAACATCTCCGGCTGAAAAAGACCCAAACAGAAATTCTAAAAAATAGAAAATATGAACACCAATTGTATATTGTATCAGAGGATTTATTCATTTGTATAATTAGTTATTTCTATAGCATGCTTTATACGCTACCTTTTAAATGGAAGGAAACAAAAAGCAGAGCAGTTTCTTTCACACTTAGGAATGGAAACTTTGGCTTAAGGCTACCAACTTCATGCAGAGCTTTTATTAGAGAAGTTGCTACTCCCTAAAGAAAGAAAACAACTTTAAAAGACCATTACAGAAATCTTGAACAATTCCTTATCCTGTTGTAATGTAGATCCAATGACAGGGGAGATACCCCAAGTTAGTGAATAGTAGATTACAAATTAGTATAAAATTAATAACTTTTAAATTTATTCATGTGTCAAAGGTTAAGGAACTACTCTTAAATTTTTCCAGGTAAGCGTGTGTCTATGCTGGTGTTAAAAATCAAACCAAAATGATACAGAACTAAGTGAGAAAATTTATCATATAATAATAATAATAACTGCAGCCTATTATCCCCCTCTGAGGGCCTTGTGGTTTTTTTTCCATTAAAGCTACAAATATTTATTATTTTAAGGCTTTAAAAAAATTGCTCTCAATTGTAACTACAAATTTTTCAATTTAATATAATCCCTTTAATACACACAAGACTCATATTGCATTAAAAATTAAATAAACTAAGTGAGATATGCTATATATCACAAAATCATGTTTTAAAAAAGAAAAGTAAAAACTGGCCTGTTCAAGGTATCCAGCCAAAGGAAGTGTAGTTAGTAACATTGGCTCCTTTTTTGGAGGGAGTTTATGGGGAAGCTTCAGATTCCAGTACTTCTCTGGTAACCTAACCAGATAAAAGATAAGCACTTTTAAGATGTATAAACAGTAACATGATAGAAGATTAAAATACAGTTAGTGTATTCACCTCATAAACTTCTGAAGTTTTTCTTCACTTTCAAGAAGATATATCTTATCTTGGTATTTCGCTGCATACTCAATGTTGCCAGGCACCAAAGCTTCATATCTGAAGAGATGGAGCAAAAACAATTATTCTTTCACAGAAAACATAGAACATAATTTGTGTGGTGCAAGTTCATGAGCTACTGRGAGCCTTCTGATAATTTAGCAAGTGTAGCAATTACAAAAAATAGCAATTGGATCATTCAAGTTTCCACTACATGACTGACAGTTACCAGGTTCAAAATCTGATAGAGTCTCTCCATCAAACTCTGCTTATTTAGGAACTTTTATAGAGCTGCTTTAGGGGTCCTCCATTTAGAATGCCAATCACAGTTTTTCAGGAGATTAAGAAGGGATAACAGAGAATTGGCTATTATGGTTCTCCTCTGATGAGAAATTCTGGCACACTGAAGAAATCTGTGACTTTAGGGTGGAGCTTTATGGATCTTTTACAAAAATCATAATAGCTAGTTTTGCATCTACCAGGGATTTATGAGATTTGTTTGAACCTTTGAAGGCTTATGATAGAATTCAAATTATGTATGTCCATCTTTACCATGAAAGACAGCAAGCCAACACGCATCCTTGTAGAACCTGCAGCCATGTAGGTATTAGAAGGTGATTTTATAATGATTTCCAAAGCCACAAGTGCAGTATAGAGAATTGTAATTGTTTTTCCTGTCCAAACCCCCAAAACTATTAAAAAGTACTTTGGTAGTGTTTCCTCACTAATGTATTAATATAGGATATTTAGTCTCYAATTCAGATTATGAAAATTCTAGTGACATACCTCTGTTTTCCATCCAGGTAAGTGACTGGACAGTATCCCTGCATTTCAGCCTTTAGAGGGAATAMGGCCTTGACTTCTTCTGCAGTCAGTTTCTGTGGTAGCATATGTGGGGGTGGGAAAGGGTGAGGTGCCAGTGATGACACATAAGCATCTGGTCTGCTCAAGAATTTCTGTAGAAAAAGAAATGTTTTTATCATGAAAGAAGCACTCTAGGACTGTTAGTCAAACTGCAGAGGACTGGCTCACACAATTTAGACTATTTATTTTTTCTACAATGCAACAATGTGTTGGCACTGCTGTTGCTCTTAGGTAATTTCTTTTCCAACCTACTCTTAGCTGAAGCAGTCACTATCCACCCACCATCCATCACTATCCACTGCTATCATAAGACACTTTCCACACCCAGTCTCCCAAAACAGATGAAGAAAGGAGAAAGTTATTGTTTTCAGACTAATGTTTGATCTGTGATAATTTGTAAGAGGAGCTTTAGTTTAATGCTGTCTGTGCTGCATTTTGTCTGCCTAGACGCTTGATAGCAGAAGTATGCAGAACAAAAGCCTGAGTGCTAACAACAGTGGTCTAATACAAATTGCATATTATTTATTTCTGTATGGAATCAAAGAATCTAAGCAACAATGTTCCTTCTTCCCATAATCCCCTCCTTTTTGACCTGCTTTTTTGACACTTACTTCCAGTTTTTCCTGTGAAGCCATTTTGTAATAGTGTCCTTGAAACTCTGCAGCAAACTCCAATGAGGAAGTTCCAGAGCAGTCAATCAGTTCACCCTTCTCTGCAAGGCTGACGGGACAGTACTGTCCATACTCCCCCAGCTGTGCCTGCAGTTCCTCAGGAGTGATACATAAATCAGCAATGTTGGCTGCTTTTCCTGGTAATGAAAGCAATTAATGATAATGTTTTATTTATGCGAGATGTAGAAACATCAAACAATTCTACTCAGGAATGTTACAGTTTAGAAAGTATTTCTTAATTAGAAAATTATGTGAAATAATAGTAAGAACAAAAAGAGCAATTTGATAATAAAATGAAGTTGCAACTCATTTTACCACTTAATTTTAACACCAATTTGGTAACATTTAAGAAATACAATAATTATTAATGATGTGGGACACTGCATGATCAGYTTATTGCTGTATGTTCTCCCTCTTATTTATGATTTATTGTTTTACTCCCTTGCTACTAAGGGACATTTCAGCTATTATTTTATTTCTTTACATTGATGAAAAAGAGTACAAGGTGTGATGAAAGCCTCCCCTTTATTCATCCATTCTTCCAAATGCTACTGTCTATCTGTAGTCAAAATCTTGAATAAAATGTCATCTCAAACCCAAATTACTTAAAAATCCTGCTTTTCAAGCTTGATGTGAAAATGTTAAATGCATTTTATTATTTTTGGTTATGACTTTGATTTTGTGTAGCCACAGAGATGTAAAAGTTAAACCCAAAAGGTGGATATAAGATAAGTAAGTCTGTTTTCCCTTCAGAGTAATTCTAGTTAAATAGTACAGACATATTTAGAAGGCATATTTAACAGACCAATGTTGACACACAAAAAGTCAAGTGGGAACTGTGCCATTTTTGAAGAAAGTGATTTTCTTTTCAAAGCACAGAAATTAACTCAGATGGCATATTTAAGCTTATTTCTGTATTTTAAATTAACATCTTCCCTTCCCTCCCTCTTACTTCACTAACACTAAAGTGAAGCTGCAAAGTTCCCCGTGTATACTTTGTACTCTTTGTGATTTACCAACYGGTGTTGCTGAATCTACCAGGGACCAAGGACTCTAACTTCCTTTAGCAGATATGTTACCCTGTTCTTTGGAGGATGGCCTCAGACKGTCCTGTAGTTGGCTTTGTCTTCACTCTTTTCAAGAGATCTCTTCAAGATCTCTAGAGATGAGATCAAAGAATTTCAGGGCATGTWTATGCCGAAGAATTAGCCTCATCCAAAGAAAGGTGAAGTTGGCATGTACATAGTACATTGCAGAAGAACAGAATTGCATTTTAAAGAAACAAATACTCTGGGAAACTTTGTTGGGTTTTTTTTACCTTCTCTTCTTCTTTCCAGGTATACCTGGATTTGTTTAACAACCACTTGAACTTCTTGCAAAACTTTGTTCCACACCCTCCACTTGCTATGACCGCCATCAATCACACACCAGTTCTGACGTTCCTTCATATAGTAAGTTCTAATATCATCAATGTGCTGTTTATAGCAGGAATTTTTAACAGCTAGAATCTGTGAGCTATTATGTTCAGGATAGGGAGGTCTAAAGACAATGAAAAATAACAGTGATTTAAATCTGAAGACTAGACAATTTCTTTGAATTTCAGGCATAAATTCTAGAATTCACTGTAAATTCTTTTTACAAAATTCTGCTTATTTGACACTGTAGAACATATTTGAGAAATACAAATTTCTTATTAAGAATATTACCAGCTACATGTGAAAAGCAGTGTACTTATGATCAGACAGTCCTATTCAAAAACAAAGAACAAAACTTCTTCTATTTATGTCCCAAATACAAATCAATAATTATTTTGCAAAGGATTTAGAATGTATAAGCACATACTAACTGACACACACTACTAATATACCTTTAGATGGTACCCTGATATTGCACACTTGAATTGTACTTAAGCCYATGAAATGTAATTAGTTTGGTATTTAAAATGAAGTTTAAAGTAAATACTTTCAAAAACACATCACTGATTTAATTTTTTGCAATGCAAATTGTCTTTAGTCTTCCAGTAAACAATTTAACATTGTACTGATTACTTGATAAAAAGAAAGAGACAAAAAGAAAAGGACAAAATGAAAGAGGCATGCAATAATGCTCCAAGCTATCTGGAATTTCTTAGAAACACTTCCTCTAATGAGAACCAGGCTCTTACAGAATTTAATTTTAAGGTGAATGTTCTGTTCTTTTTCATTCCCTGTCTGCTTATAAACTACTTACTGTTCTTCCTCAAAAACAACCAACAGCTCTTTAAACAGAATATTTATCTTCTCAGAAAAACAAAGAAGGGAATGAACTGAATTGAAAAGCTTAGAACTCCTGAATTCTTTACATTACTAAATATGTATTATTTCCATATTTTTAAAAGAACTTCAAGTTTTAGAAGAGGGCTTATTAGATGAAGTATCTATTTCTTTTATTACGATAATTAAATTGATGAAAAATAAAGTTTAGTAGCTGAGAGAACTGCTACAGTTTCATTAAACCAGTTTAACTAAGCAGTGGGTGCACAGCATTGCACATTTGTACCTCAGTCATGAAATCAAGAGATCAGGCCAGAGCATGCCACAAACATGGGATCAGGCCAGAGCATGCCACTAACACCTTACATCCCTGTTTCTGGCCTATGGAAATCAAAGCATTAGAAAGGAGGGGGACTGGTTCCCATATCTTTCATATGTGGAGTTCAGAGACAGCTGAGTTATGCTCCAGGTAAGATACAACCTCTGGATATAGCACGGAGGCACATAAATAAAGATATTACAATATCATGTTGGAAAAGAAATTTCTATCCGGGAACATCATTACCGGTCTGCGATTTCCTTATCCAACAATGCTCTTCTGAACACTTCCTTTGAATCCATTTCAAATTCAAAGATTTTTGCTGGAATTATCTTAGCTGATTCCAAGAGATTTACTTGTTTTCTTGTCTGAGGATATCCATCAATTACCACTCTGCACAAAAACAGAAACAGAAAAACAGTTTTCCAAAGAGAGTTTCCAATCAACCAGTAAGTCTATGTATATTTCTAGTACACTTTCCATGGAGACACCCATGCCATGAAGTTATCACTGCTTTGACTTGACAGGAAGTTTTCACTCCTAAGAATTTACAACCAAATTAAAAAAAAAAAAAAAAAAAAAAAAAAAAAAAAAAAAAAAAACAAAACCAAAACAAGTAGGTAGAATAAGAAATAGTAATGAGAAAAGGACATGCACAAAGGGCAAAAGGTAAGTGGATGCATCAATCATTCAGAAACATATTTTAACTATAAGAAGTCTCCATATGGATTGGGAGGAGCAGTTTTTAAAGTGGTAAGTAAAATTATTTACCCAAGTACTTGAAGAATTTTTTAAATCATATTGAAGAAGAAATGCTTTTCACATGTTAGGCAATACTGGAATAAAATACACTGAAACAATATTCCAGGATTTAACATGAAGGAGAAGCTGAAAGAATTCTGATCTCAAGCACAGTTTTCAGAGATTATTGCAGAATTGCCTTTCTCTGTAACAATTCTTTTTGGGGAGAGGAATTGAATGTCATTAAATAATGATCTTAAAGCTTTTTGAGTCTGCCCGGTTTCAAAGGTGTTTCAGTGCCGGAGAAAAAACCTAGGATCACATATAAATGACATGGAAAGACTCAGTGGTTTCAGTTTCTCCTTAATAACTTCAGTTGTTAACAAAACCAGAAAAGAATTTGTCTACTGAACCAGCCTGCATGATCAAAGAGAATTAGGTATGTCCAAGTTAGTTCTGGAGTTGGCATAAGAGGCCAAATGGTAGTTGTCTATGTATAATAGAAGATATTAGCTTATTAACTAATGAAAAAAGGTAACTGTTATAAAGTATATTACTTGGATTTACAGCAATATAGTTACTTGAAAATTGCAGAAAATTATGCTTCAGTCCCATTTCCCAGAGCAATTGTAAAAAAATCTCCTTTTGTACAGATTATTTTCTTAATGCAGAAACCACTGATGTGTTTTAGTGAAATAGTTTTACAGCAACAACATAGGAATCCATGCCTATGAAGAGACTGGCCTGTCTTTGAGAAACACCCAAAACCCCAAGAAGACTTACCCAGTGGCATTATTCACGTGATTTAGCAGAGCCACATCTAGAGCCTGGATGGCCAATTCATCAGGTACAGTGAGTCCTTGGTGAAGGTGTGACTTTACCATCAGTGCCAACTCACTCTCTGGCTGGTTGTTGATCACCAACCGGATGGCGTCTCCTAAGGACAGGCGCTGGAAACCATAAACACTTGCAAGTCTCTGGGCAACTGCAAAACATTTTGATTTCAAGTCACAACTTTTAAGGTAAGAAAAACAACCTCACATATTCACAGAGCATGCCCAGTGTACTAATACTGGTCAATTTAGCAAAAAACCTCAGCAGGTAYAGTCAATAATATTACAAAGTGTGTTAGAAAATATACTTCCACTGCTGCTCCTTTTACAGAATAGCCCACCAGTTACATCATTTATCCAGGAAATGGGAAATATGGTTAAAATTTCCTTCTTAAATGACWTAATTTCAGCCTGTCTCTTTTCTTCCTAACATTCTATTCTGATTGTGAAACTATGGTTTGAAATGAATTTCCTTCTCCTCCAGTAAAAGGCAGAGATGTGTGGATTGACAGAGCCATGAAGGAGGAAGGGGAGGGGAGAAGGAGAGAAATCTTGGGGGTTTTTTAATCTAGAAATTTGGAAACAGGCTGGGTAATGGGGAGTTTGGGGTCCTAGTCCTTCATCCTAGGATATTTCCCATTTTACATTAGCTCATATTGACTGAAAAAGAAATTATTAGAAAATAATAATAAACAATACAAGGGGTATAAATAGTTTAAGTCCAATTTTTCCTAAGTGCAGTAACCCCTTAAGGACCTGGGATAAAATTCAGATACACAATGTGATGTATCAGACTGTCAAATGAGACACTAGGGAATGTAACTAAAAGAATCTGTGCCCAGCAAGAAGAGCAGGAAGACCAACAATATTAATGGTTTGTGATCGTTTAATAACAATAAGGACAGATACAGCTTCAGTCATTAAATAATGTTTTGCTTYATAGATAACTGCTCATACCTGTAGTCTTTCCAGATTTTGGAGGTCCCACAATTGCAATCTTTATTGGCATAAATGTATTAGGTTTTGGCTGACAAATATATTTGATGGGATTTGTCATAAATATTTCTTTATTTTCTTTACTTGAAAGGAAATAAATATATTGTCGATGGATTACTGGAAAGACTGCATTTCTTTGCCTTTGTTGTGGCCTGATCACGTCTCCTTTACTTAGCTGTAGAATATACAAAATGGGAATCAACTGATTAGGTTAGACAAAGCCTCTTCTTYGTCCTTCTCAGAGCAGTGGCTTAATAGGCAGGTAGATATGGATGGATTATTTTGCTCAAGTTTGAGAAAATTCCATACCTACACTTCTTATTCAAARAGATGAAATAAACATTGAAGACAGAAAGAATATTCACTATATCCAGTAGGTGGTACCATTACACTTTATGTTTGTCAAGRTAGTGTAGTCAGAGAAGACTAACCTAATACTTTCTTGTATTTTCAAAGAATAAGGAGAATCATTTTATTCCTCAGTGAATTAAACCCACCTACCTGCCTGACGGTAGAAAGTACACAGAGAAAATTTTATGCAATAGAAGTCATGTACAAATGAAGAAGACGTAAAAGAACATCAATACTTACATTATGGTTAAATRAAAAACCACAACAAGGTAAGCCAAAAAAGCTTTTGGAAAAACACATGCACTGCTGATGAAATCTTTTCAAACACATCAGACAGCCCAATRAAAGGTTTGCAGTGTTGATGGATCATTGACATGTAAGAGATGCAATTGGCAGAAATAGTMATTGGAGTAATGCCAGATTAATTCCTTGCACCACTCTGCTCTGTGGAAGAACTTAGTCATGTCCCTGTTGCAGCCCTCCTTGGAAGAACTGCCTAAAAGTGTCAATAAAAGATGCTTTAAAACAAAATGTTGACATATGAAGAAAAAATTGCCCAGACCAGGTGGCATTCACCTTATGTTCTAAAGGGACTCAGACTTGTAATTTGTTCTGAGTAATATGTAACATTGGTCTTCCTTCAACAAAAAAAGGAAGGTGGAGAAAACTACTATTTTTTAAAAAAGTTTTTTCCTCCAGGGTAGAATCTGGCAGACATAGTCCAGTAAATGACTCTGTATTGAGCAAATTGAAATATATTAAGGAAAAAAAACCAGTAGTTACAAGAATACATATCAATTAATATGTATACATATCATGAAGGGAAGAGTCAACTTAGCTTCTTGTTGAAGAAAATCACACCTCACGAATCTATTACTACTTTTTTGAAGGAGTCAGTGAAGTTGGTCTGGTTATCACAGCTAGAGATGGCMGTGTTCTACTGTGTGGCATTGTCTTGCCAAACTCTTCTCACATCCATAGGTTCCTATTCCTGCATCAAGTCATTTCAGGGTGTTTGCCCTCAGTTTGTAAGATTTCATGAGTCTGTTCTATTGCATATCTGCTTCCATTCCTGCCTCAGCTCATAATTTTTATTCTCTGCTTATCTAATCAGTTGCATAACTACTTMCCCTCCCCCCTCAATTTAATCTGAAAGTAACTGGCATGTATTCAATTTGCTTTTTTACCCCAAAACTTCCAATCTGTAATAAATGTTATAATTTCTATTATTATCCTAAAATGCTCTCAAAATTATCCTATTTCCCTTCCATTTYTATCAGCTTGTACATTTTAATTGTCAGCACACCACTCTTATTTTATCCAATAGCTTCCTATGACTTCTTTCTTCTAACTGAATTGTACTTTTTGGTTGGTTAAAAAAACTGAATAGAATAAAAGAATGGACTGGAGAAATTGAATACAAAAATGTAGTGAAATCTGACWGAACAATGAGCAAGTACTAGAGTGTAGGGACTAATTGCAAGTAAACACTTAAACTGTGATTCAGTAGTTGGAAATGACAGAGGACTAGAAATATCTTCTTCTGTTAGTATGCCCCTAGATAATTAGATGCCAATTGATGCAGCCATGAGGTTCTGATCCTAAGGCTAAGGAGAGACAAATATGATCTGGAACAGGTAAAGACCCAACATGATGACTATACAAAAAATAAAATTGTTCAATTAATTGGCATAATAAAATGAAGGACAACGTTTTTAATAAAATGAAGGACAAACTTCAAAGTGTTTCCTTCAGGGCCTTCTTATTTTCTGTATGTAGTTCACTGAWTTTTTTTTAACAAATCCTCCTTTTTATTTTTTTATTTACTCCGAATGCAATCTGCTTTTATTTCTGGCATTAAAACAAAAGAATTACCTGTGAACATTTAATTTCCTACCTGCAAAATTGTATCAGTCCACTTTGGGGACAGAGATGAGCACTTTCTGACCTCAACTTTCCAAATCTCTAGTAAAATACCATGGAAATAGATTTGTTGCTCTTCAAAATTTTGACAAAAAGTTGCTCTTTGTAAATTTTGACAAGAAAGAATTATTGCTAATTACACGCATCTAATATTTTTTGCCACTACTGGGTTTGGTGGCTGCTTATATGTGTGGCCTCTTACAAATTCATACTGCAAATCCTTTCAGTTAGCTCTCACTACTACTGGAAGTCTTTGAGACCTTTTCTGATGTCCTGTGTTTTGTGCATCATTTAGAGTTAGGCATTTCTTTCTGATTCAATGCCATCTTTGATCATGTCACCAATGACAGTGTAACCAATTTTACTGAATGTCTCTCAGCCTTAAATTAGCTGCAACACTGAAAAGATGAACATCTTTTATATCAATGCTTGATGTATTTTGTGTATATTTAGTGGTGTAATTTTGATTCAGTAATGTAGTTTTCATTAAATATTTCTGGTATTAGTTGCTACTGTCTGATAACATCTTCTTAATGTGATACACATTTTTAAAAAGTATCAACTCTTGAAAACATTCTTCAGCCTCTTAAGAACATTACCTTGATTGGATCCCAATGACCAAAAGAACTTAGTAATTTATATGAGCAACCGAGCATCTTCTGTGCAAGTGGCAAACTTATTGGGTAACATTTCTCAAAAATGCTTTCACGGTTTTCCACTAGAGATTTCAGCTTGTTGTATATTTGGTAGCAGACAACACGAGGCTTCCGTTCTCCACTGATCTCAACTGCTGGTATTAATAACCTTTCAAATTCTTCCTGGTTATGAAAACATAATGAAGTATTAGAATCATAAATGCAATCGGATTTTTAATAAAGACTGATCACAAGATTTTTCTGTGAATGATTAAGGATTTCCTAAGCATGTTCTGAGTCACCATAAATGAGCAAAATTTGACTTGAGATGGGAATTCGTCTTCCTGCCTGCTGAAGTTTAAACTTCTATATTGTCACAACATCACAATATTATAATATTATCTGGTTTTGTAAACTTTCTCTGTGGTCAGTGGATAGATCTTCTAAATTACKATTAGTTTCTTTCTGAAGTGAAATACTTAGTAGATAATAAACAAATGTCACCAACCTACCTACKGCCTTAGGTGTGACATTAGCATTGCAGATGTGTAGTATTAGATGAGGTTACCTTACCATAGGCAATTGCACTGATTTCAAGAAWATTCTGTTACTAGGTGTGAGAACGGTGTCAAACACCTGGAATCTCAACYAAAATTAGATTTGGATTTTTTCTTTACATTTGGTTTTATCACCAGGAACTAGGAACTGTATTAAAAAATAGAATGGTCTAGTAAGAATTTTGCCTCAAAAATGATTTTTAAATACTGTTCATATATTCACAACTTTCTAGTTTAGTTGCCTGTATCAATTGACGTATAAAAACAAAAATTATACCAAGATTAGACCTAAAAGTTTCCTTTTTTTTTCTCTACTATATTAGTTATATAAATTATATACTCTTTAAGTTTACATCTGCTCAGTACAGTCTTCATCTTGTTCACATACTTAGAGTAGAGCAGCATGGCACTATAATTTTTTCAATGTGACAAATAAATATGACAATTCTTCTTGCATCATGTGATCATATACCTTAACAAAATAAGCAGCGGCATCAGTACCTGCACACCTTGTAATCTCTCTACTTCTGTTTCAAACCTTTCTGAAATTTCACTTTGCATGCGCTCAGCAACTTCTTCTTCATCTTCTTCTTCTTCATCATCTAGTTCTTCATCTTCTTCTACTACTAAAAACTCTTCTGCAAGTATAGCTTCAATAACTTTCTTTTCATTCTCATCATCCTCCTCMGTAGCTTCATCATTCTCATTATTTTCTAAAGCCTAAAAAGACAAAGTATTTTGTTGTTTCATGTCTGTGATACAGATGTTTTGAAGGAACAAATAGGGTATTCTCATCTCTTTTTAAACAGAAAGTCCATTAATTCAACAAAACCTCATTTTGGTATATCCTTTATCGTAAGCAAAACCTAGTAAATTCTAGAATCCTATTTCAGAAGAAAATGTGGCACTATTGCATAGCGCATACAGTGAAGCATTCTACCAGTTTCAAGAGTACTTAACCTGAAGAGCTACAGTGCAGTTTTGATAAGAGGAGTGGTTTTTTCATACATTGTATTGTTTGACAAGACTTTGTTATAAACAAGCATGTTTGGTAAAAGTGTATCTGGCAGAATATCATGAGAAGTCAAGTAGTACATGACTGCATTTATAAATATATTATGTAATGGACTTTGGGYAGAAATCCTGGTATAGTCCTATTCAGGATTAACCACAAAAGCACGTGCTTAAAGGCATATGCCTAATTTCAATTAGTGGGGCTACTCTTACGCTTAGATACATTAAACACATTCATAAGTATTTTCCTGAATTGAAGCGCAGATTGAGAATTCTTTCAAAATTTTTAGTCCTCATGAATCGACAAGCAATTAAAACATAATATAGAATAATTTCTAAAAGCAGAGGTTTCTCACAGTCTRTAATAATTTTACAGTTCTACATTGTCTTGCAGTCTGTGACTAAGAGSTGTAGAAATTTCCCTGGTATGAATGCAACCACTTCTATTTCTTTCTTATTAGGTTGTTTCCTTACCTCCTGCTTCATCTGTTTTCGCTCTGCTAAAAGTTCTTCCCTTCTTCTGGCAATCTTCTCATTCTGTTAGTGAAAAAACATGTAAGAAGACTGATACTTCCTAATAAAAGCTCCCTGTCTGAAAATTGGTCATGTAACCTTTAATTACCACTGTTCTTTCCATCTTAAAATTCTGTTTCCAATTGGTTCTAATGTTAAAAAATACTGCTTAGAGTTTGAAATGYTGCAGACCAGATATACCTCTCTACTAAGAAAACATGTAAGCATATTTTAGTTAAACTAATTTGGCAATTTCTGATTTTGAGATTAGAGGAAAAAGAAAGACTATGATTCTTCTCATGCTGAAAATACAGTAATAGGTTTTTTGGTAAACTACAGAGTTTCTAAATTTATAGGTGGTTTCTGCCATTTGGCAAAGGGGTGATTGAGCATGGTGGTAAATACGTGGTGTTCCCTTTGACTGTTTAGGGAYATTAATGGTATCGTATGAGTCTTGTCCCAAATTCTRTTGTCCTAACTTGCTGTGTGTCAGYTGTTCCGTAGTAAYGATGCTCAAACCTTTTCTGATATTACATGTGAAATACTACGTCTCACTTTATATAAAGTTAGGAACCATGAATATATTATATGTGCCAATTGTAAATGTCTGCAGAATCTTCCAATTGCCTCAAACAACTTGTAACCTGCTCCACAGTAGACACAGCTTCATTTGAATGGGAGACAGAGCAGCTGCAACAGCACTGAGAATGTGGCTCAGAGGTACTACATTCCTGTGCAGAATATCAGAGTTGGAAACACAGACACATCCCCCATGGAGTACTCATGAAGTCAGCCTATGGGACATGCTGATCAACTCAACAGCACATGCTCAGGGAATCTGGGATGCAACAACATTACAGTGCATGAACTGTCTATTTGTTTTTTTTTATTGCCATATTCATTCCCTCGATCTAGTTGCCTTTTGCTCTCAGACTTACTAGATTCTGTCCGACTGCCTTTTAACTGGCAGCATAGCTACTTGTCTTTGACTGTGAGATGCCCAAACTCCTGCATAAACTAATTGCATAGAAGAGGAAAGGAGCCCTAAATTATTTTTGGCCCCTATGGTAAGCCTAGGAATGCTGTGAATGTGTAGGACTGTCTCCTGGCTCCAATATCTATTACTCTGTGTGCTCTTCACAGCTTTGGGAGTTTTAGAATCTATGTTTAGAACTCTGCTCTTGAAACAACAAAAAAACTGATGTAGGGTTAAAAACATACCCTTTTTTTTGCTTTTAGCTCCTTCAGGTTCCTTTTATATTCCTTTTTTTTACGTCGTCTGTCTTTCCATTTTTCCAGACGTGGAGGAAAAAGACGGTCAAGAATGTTACTTTCTTCTACTTGAATATAAACTGCAACATCAGGACAGAGTCCTCGATCTGACAAATATTTGGCTTCATCTGAACTACGAGGAAAGCCATCCAGTATAAAGCCTGTGGACCTTATTGGAAAATAAGATATTTATCATTACACAGTGCAGTTTAAAGTGCAACACAGTGAACATGCAATTATTTTGAAAAAACTCCACAAACCCTCCCATGTTAAATGTGTATGTTAGAAGTAAAATTTAAAAAATACTTTCAGCTACTATCTTTTGACAATGCAGAACTGATATTTCAGTATGTATATTAATTATCATATTTACTAATTAATTTCTTCTGAGGTTTTAATGYGCAATGCTTACATATTTTAAAATAACTTAAAACCCCCAAAATAGTGTCCTCAGACTTGCTTGTGTGACTCTAAACCCAATATTTTTTTAGGCTCTACTCTGAAAAAATAGAAGTTGCCCCAAATGGTTTTTTGGTAACAACTGCCAAGGAAAGTTTCTACCTGAAAATTTATGTTTCTTCTCTAGCATAGGATGAGAAATTTGCTACTCAGCATGACTTAATTTTCTCTTTCTGCAGATGTTAAAGACAAGTCATTTATACCTGGAAAGCTCTATGGCTTACTGGAGCTCTTATAATTTGGAATCAGRTGAGTAGTTATGTAAGGCTGAATGCTGCGTTGATAAGAAGTTAATATTTATTTTTATTACTTTAGACTCTGATAGGATACATTGTAAAATTGCAGAAACCATAAGAAGCTACAAGGAGTGGGAGTGGAGGGAAGAACAGGTAGCCCTGGATGCTGTGGGGAAGAAGAGTTCAACATAGTATCATTTAGTAGTGTAATGTAGTGTCATATTACATAGTATAATATAATGATACAACATTATGTATAATGCTGGGCAATTTTTTGTTTTGGTGCATTCTTTCTTTTCCTAAAACTGATCTCTCTGTTTTTATACTGTGTAGACAATCACTGTCCCCTATCTGTAGTCAGGACAAAATTACATAAAAATATAAAAGCTTTGTTTACGTATCTATCCTGTAAGCCCTGTGTGCAGCCTATAAAATACAATATTACTGTCAAAATATCAACCAAAATAGTACAACAAAGCCAAGACTGACAGGTAGTCATTGCTCACAAAAAGTACAAGAGCACTGAAATAATCTCTGCAATAGTAATTTACAATTGTGGACACAATGGACTATGTACTTCCTAAGATTAATTWAAGAGAGAATCTAATTACAGTTACCGGAATGGCTCTTTCTTCCACCAGTCAAGAACAATGTTATCAAGGACTTCTGGAGGCAGTTCYGTATTATCCATTAGATTTGCTTTGATTGCCACTTCTTGATCAGTTAATTCCACTTCCTTAATGTAAAGAAAATCCACCAAAAATGAAAAAAAACCAACCCAAATCCAAAACCAATTAACCAAACAAAACAGAAAGTAGTATCTACTTGACACATTTATTGTGTTTTTGCTAAATAAGGTACTGTCTTCATTTGACTTAAACCAGCAGAAACAAATTCATTTGTCACGCTGCATCATACTACATTATACGTTTTGGGTCATTCCCTAAAATTAGKGCAATGGCTGCTGTATGAGTTTTAATGAAACCTAAAATCAAGCACAACTGTTAAGTATTTAATTATACATATGCTCAGTTCAGAGGAATTGAGATCAAAATGAGCACAGTTTCTCCTAATTGCCTACAAGCAATTTTCCACTTGGCTATACATGTTCCCATGCTGGAAGATTACCTGCAATACCTCAGAATGCTTTTCACTTTTTAAGWGCAACTATTATATTTGGATGGAATAAAAATAAAATGTTGAAGATGGATATGTAAGGTCATTGGAACAAGAACAGATACCAGACAGATAGCATTGTTCTACAGAATCTAGTAGTATTAATGACTAGTCATATGCGGAGTATTCAAATACCAAATCAAACTACTAAATTCTTGTGGAAAACTGCTGGGGTTTTTTATCAGAATCTGTAAGTCTGTAAGGTTGATATGGTTGAGGATGCACTTCTCATAGAACAGCTTCCTGATACAGTCTGTGGTAAAAAATAATGAAAAGAGGATACACATTGGTGGTTCTGGATTAGTTTACATAATTCATATATCAAAACATGTCTCAGAATCAAAACGTGTCTGATATCAAAAGGCCATGTCTGAATAAGAATTCCTATGCCTGACATCTGTTCTGCTAATGGAGCCAGGAGAACTTGAGAACATGCTGGAAGCCCCAGGTCTAATGTAGTATATATGAGTAATATTTTCTCTAGTGCCTGACACAGTATATACATTAAAAGATGTTTATATGACAGAAGATACCTAAGAAGACAAAGTGATAGCCAGACTTGTAACACAGAGGCATCTTGAAAGAAATGTGTGAAGTGGGAGAGAAGAGTAAAACATGTAAAAATGTGTCACTGACATTACCAGTGCGAAAGAGAGGCAGGAATGGCATTTGTATCCAATAAAAGAAAAGAAGCACAAGATGTATACTSCAGGTAGAGGAAACAGAACTACCCACAGAGCAGTGATTTGAAGGACAAGGATGTCCCCCACACCTGTCAATGATCAGAAGGCCTTGGCTGACACTAAAACAAGCAGGGTGGTATCTTTTTGCTGAACCTTCCAGACTGCATGGTATGTTTTGTTTGCCTTTAGTGGTTTTGCTTTGAGCATTATAGCTGACCTTAAGCTTTCTTCTACTTTAAGCTTTCTTTTTCTTCTACTTTCTTGTGCTGAAGTGGAAGACAATGAAATTTTGGAGAGGTGGTGAGTCAGTGAAAAACACAACAGTCAAGCAATCCAGTGGCAGTCATATTCCGAGAAATGTCTGGGAAGTCTACAACCCTGGAAATTATCCTCTATAGAGTTTTGTGCATGAACCAATGAATGGGTTTCTGAACTGAACTGAAATTCTATCAGCTGTGCTTAAGTCATGCCATCAGACGAAGCACTTCAAGCATGAGAAAAAAGAATGTGGAAGATTGTTTCCCATCAGATTCAAAGATGACAAAGGAAAAATACTACAGAAATGCCTTGATGTAAGACATGTATTGATGCCAAAAAAATTAAATTGAGTGAGAGACAGCCATATCCACCAGTGCCAGGAACACCTGCCATATTTTTGGCTGTGACGACCAAGTTGTAAACTAACTTGCCAAAAGAACTCCTTCTTTGATTTTGATGAAAAYCTGATTCTTTTTGTTCTGACATTAATCATTTTGACCTGTACTCCATCTGTGTTAAAGCATTTGCTTGCAATGTTACCTGCTCTTATATTATTTCATCAGAACATTACCTTCCAGTTATCAGGGACCAGCTCCATTTTTCAAGACAGTAGAGTGGCCTTGAATGCACCTTTGGCAGCTTCATCAGCACTGCAAGTGCATCCCATTGACCTGTGTATCTTGAGTTATATAAATGATCCCAAATTTGATGCTGTTCTGTTTTGAATGGTACCACTTTTTACCCATGATTTCCTATTAGACACAGAGCCCTCTAGGCCACAGATTAGACTGTACTTGCAAAGACCATGGTAAAGAAGGCATTGAGCATCTCAGCCTTTTCAGTCACAGACTCCTAGAGTCTTTCTAGAACTTTCWTTTACTGCTGTCATACTACATAAATTCTTTTTGTAACCCTTCAGATCCCTCACTGAATTCCACTTCCATTGAGTGCTCATCTTCGTAATACTGTCCTGAGCTGTTTTTGGATGCCTTGCCTCTGTAGCCTGCTGCCTCTCTTGCATGCTTCCTTAAATCCTGTAGCAGGAAGTGTTTGAAGATCTCTAATAATTAGTAATTCAGGGTACTTGTCAGGGACCAGGAACACACGCACCAAAAAAGGCTCTTAAAATGTGATGCAGAAACTTATTTCKTCCTAGATCATTGAGTGTTGGATAAATCCTTATTTCTACTGTGTGAGAGGTAGATTTTCAGTTTCTTTSTACTACATATTTTGTGAAAGACTTATATGCTGTGTACTTGTGTTGAGACTTCTCCACACAATGAAGGCTTTTAGCATATCCATTACTGTCTACAAAATTCATTTGTATTCAAAGCATTAAAACCCTGTGGATTTTTTTCTCCCAATATATCACTGCCTAAAAAAAGAAAACACTCTGCTTATATACATTTATGTAAATGCTTGTTCTTCAGGGTAAGAGATGGGGTCTAGAATGAATACCTGCAGAACACCTTCCTATTACTGTGTTGACCTTGACCTTCTTTTCCCTTAGTTGGTCTTCCATTGGCCATTTAGCATCTATCTCTACTATTTAGAAAAAAAACCTGCATAGAAATCTTGCAAATGTTTTAAAGCATGTTTGAGGTATTTATAAGAAAACATTGGCAAGAACTATCATTTCCAAATTTCATCAAGTAAATAATTTAGCATAATTTTACAATTTTTACAATTTTATAGGAAATTCTTGTTCTGGCCTGAAAATGGTTATTTTGTGTRTGGATGTAAAAAAGATTATTATTACCTGTTTGCTTTTTTCTATTTCAGTTTTAGCCCTGGTCTGAGAGAAGTCWTCTAGCTCCTCTGGTATTTTATAGTCAGATTCATGATCTTCATCACCAAAGGGCCCAACTTTCTTCTTAGTTTTAGGTAAAATCAATTCCTGTAGATATTCTTCAAATTGAATATGGAAAATGCCTAATTTGTCTGCTAACTGTCGCGCACAAGTACTTTTACCTGCTCCATGAATGCCAAGTAAACACACCCGTAAAGGAGGAGCCTGCAGGAAAAAATTGGAATATTTCAATTTAACATACATACATACAATGCACCTCCTAGTGTTTATCACTTCAAAAATTTCATTATAAAAATTCCATCAAAAACTATCACTTAATTTTGTGTTTTAATTTTTCCAGACTTTCTATTGCTGTTCTAACTAAACTACCTGTTCTCTGGAAACACCAAACAAATCTACTACCCTACTATCAGCAGGTAAAAATGGAACTTCATTAGACAATTCTGGTAAATCTTCCATTCTTTTACCCTTTTTACACTACAAAAAACCCACAAAAACCCTAACATGTGTCATTTGTTAAATACATTTAAAGATTATTGTAAGCCTTTATAATCTTCCTCTCTTTTCTGCTGTATTTGCATCATTAATTAAATGTGCTAATTTAAGTTTACATTAAGAAAATCATCAGTGTCTTATTTCTCTCAAGAACTTGCCTAATATATTGTTACCTAGGAAAAAAACAGCAATAATAAACAAGTCTAAACGGGAATGGAAAATAGTTATTTTAATCTGCTATTATCTGCTTTAAATAATTTTTAAGATTCTTACTTGTAGTGGTTTATTGTGAGCCACGTACTCCTCAGGGCTCTTCAAAAATTTATCTCTGCAYTCAGAAGTTGAAAAGTAATAAATCTTTTCTTTATATTTTGCTGCATATTCCTGGAGTCCAGGGTAGAGGACAAAGTCCTCTTTCAGTCTGACTGGACAAAAGTGTTTTGTGTCTCCCATGTGCCTTTTCTTTTGCTTAGCTACTTCTTCATCCTGAAAATATGAAAATTAAAAAAAAAATCTCAGAATTCAGTTGTTTACTTAGATTAATTAGATCAGATTAAATAATGCCAAATACATTATCTGAGGAATCAGAACCGTGTTCTCAAAACAGTTTGGAAGCTGAAAATAAGTCTATGGAAATACACACTTTTTAGATTCTGAGTCAGAAAAGCAACTGTCCAAGAGAATTACTGAGAAAATAATTGATTTCAAAGTATGAATATCATACTCAGCCATTGAAATTAGGGTAGAAATATCTATGATAGAATCTTTTCTGACAGTTCTTGAAGCTGATTTTCTGTTTAAATGTAGACCTCTGAGAGCTGGTGTTATGAAGTCAGGTTATTTATCCAGTAAAGTTAATTTCTAAAAGATATATTAAATACTGCTCTAGTACAGTGTATAGCTATCCTGTGCTGTTAAATTTGGGCATCTTCCAATATAGGATGAAAATAGAAAGGCAAAGCTAGACCTGTAATTTCATTAAAGTGGGTGTGTGAAAATTATTAATAGCTGAGATGGAACAGGGGATTTCCTATTAGGACTCTGTCTCTTCTGATATTTACATGATGGCTCACAGAATCATTATTAGCTGACAGAAATCAAAATTCACATTTGTTTCCTTAACAAAATCCCTCTTTGCCATCAGGCAAAACTAGGTAGAGTCATCTTCTCTATTAGCATGGGGGTATTTGAGCTTCTTGATGAATTAAAACTACTACCATCCAAAACACAGAAATGTAAAGMAAGTGTTCTTGAAGCATATGCTAATATTTATTCTGCAAGAAAGCTTCAACTGGATCAAACAAAATCAGATGCAAAATCTGACTTCWCTGAGGTTATGTTCAAACTGAAAATAAAGGAGTTACAATAAAAGCATAAATAAAAYTGGCATGCTTACTTGTTCCTCTTCTTCACCTGTCTCTCCCTCTTCTTCTTCCTCTTCTTCTTCTTCCTCATTTTCTGCTTCAGCAGCCAGATCTTGGTCTTCCTCCTCTAAGTCTTCATCAGCTAATTCCCAACCGTGATATTTAAAGAGTTCTGGAAAAGTCAGGGGTTTTATTTCTGTTTCAATACTTTTCCTTTGGCTATACCACAATATATTCTCTTTGTCCATTAAAGAAAGCACATACATGGAAGAAAATAATATCAACTGTATACTGCATTTCTTCTACACACAGAACAAAATATTCTCCCTAGATGTAGTAATTATTTATATTGCCTCCTCTAAAAATGGAAATTCTTGCTTTTGGTTGAAGTAAATTGGTATTTTCGATGGGAATGTGTATTACAAAAGTATTATACAAACACATGCAGATAGTGCTATGCATATTTGCAAGTTTTTTCCTGTTAGTTGTTGGGAAAAATCATCACTTGATTTTTGTTTTATTATAGAGCCAGCACAATAGGTATTTTGGTTAATAAAACACTTGTGTTATAGTAATGATAGGAAAAATATAGTATTATTTATCCAGTGCTCAAAATTCTCAGAGAGCACACAAGTGAAGAAATTTAATTTGCCAAAGAAATGTCAATTCTAAAAAAATGAAAAATTCAGTTTTGAAATACAGTCTATGCAGGTGGTTAGGCTAGATTATTACACACCCTGAAAGTCTCATTAACCCAATGACCATTGTATATTAGTGAACATTACATTCATGTACATTAGTTATCTGTCCATTTCTCAAGCCAGTATCCTGACACGCACAGATAGAACAGGTAACTGTGGCAATGTGCTTTCAGAATGTTTAGGAAGCTATTATGTACCTATTTGCATAGCCAGATAATATATATATTTCAGATATATATATTTCCCATTCTTCTATGTCTTAGAGGCTGCTATTGTGCTTTTCAGCTGACCTAGAGAACACAGTATGACCCTCTTCATATTAGTAATATCAAACTGAGTRTAATCTACCCTCTAATATGCTCACATAAGCTATCCAAAATCTCTCTTGATAGWTTAAGTGTCAATCACATAAACAGCATTACTTACTGTCCATAACCAGCACAATACGATTAAGCAGACTTTCTGGTGTTTGCTCATCAATCTCTAAAACAACAAGCTGAACTTGAGATGAATTCTTGATTCTTAATTCTACTGTTTTCCAATCATTCATGAAAAGGTCAATCTTGTTCTTCATTCTTTCCATTTCTTGTGTATTTGAAAAACCCTCTTCTGCAAATTCAGGTTCCTCCATTGTTTCCATTTCTTGTGTATTTGTAAAACCCTCTTCTGCAAATTCAGGTTCCTTCATTGTTTCCATTTCTTGTGTATTTGTAAAACCCTCTTCTGCAAATTCAGGTTCCTTGATTTCTGAAAATCAAATAATATATAATAGGCAATGCTTCTCTAAAATGTTTTGCCTTTAAAAACTATCATTATGCTTCAGGACTATTTTATATTGCTCCTCCCCATAATTATCAATTATTATATTAGTAGTTTACAAAGACACTTTGGAAACTCCCAGTTTAATTATGTTGATACTTTATATACTCAGGCTTCTCCAGGAAAATAAACAAGGTCAAATYGCTTAACTACATTTGCATATGGTTAATTAAAACAGCACTCAAAATAAATATGACTCTTTCTGCAAATAAATATCATATAGAATTAATTAATCTAAAAAAATCTGCTTTAATTATGTCAACAGCTTTTGACAGACTATCCATATAGCCATGCCTCATGCCAACATAGGAAAAATTTGAATGAAAAAATAAATGAAAGTAAAATCTTATCATGACTTCCCTCTGTAAATACTTGAGCTGGGAAACTCTCACAGAAAATTCTGGCTTTTATTAAGCCATGTCTGCATACAATAATTTGTTTAGAAATTAAGAGAGAGAATACTTTAATCTTTTAAGAAGTGTGCAGAAATTTGTAGTGTCTGTTGTTTAAGATCAGTCCAAGCCTTTTTCCTGACACTGTCTCTGGGAAAGCAGGCAGCAGTTAGAGACTAAAAGGATACATTAATATAAATAAAACAGTCATAGGTACTACACATTGTAAACATGTCAAAACCATACCAAATGTGTTGTCATACTCTGTTAGCAAACAAACAAGGGGYTAGTTTTTCACCATAACTTTTTGCTGAAGAAGGCACATGGAATTAAGAACTTGATATTGACAGCTGATACTGAATTAAAAACTTGATACTGACAACAGGTACAGAATTTAAAATTTCATATTGATGCATTAAAAAAGCTTCCTAGAGCTGCAATTACTATCCACTCATACATTGCTAGACCCTGAAAATCCTGAGACAAAGTTCTGTCTCAGCTAGAAGATGATACACAAGTGCCTATATGACACCATAAAGACCTCATTGCTGGCAGCAATGTGGTGTTGTTGCAGCTGTTCCCATTACCTTAATATAATTTTCAACTCTGATTTTCTTTTCACTCTTTTTTTTTTTTGTTCTGTTAGTAAGTCTGACATAAATGACGTCAGCTAACAGGTAGAAAAGCAGTTGATAGCACTGAAATGCTCTGATAAATGGTCTGACATTACTGTAAGTTTGCTGGAACTTACAGCATATGCTGTGTTTGTTTTCTGCCAGAAATGAAGATGCAAGAAAAAACTTTATTAGTGAATGGAATGATTTTCTACTTTGCCTAAATTTGCCCCTTCTCTTGTTGTTCCTATCTTGTTTTTCGTTGAAAGAGCAGGAACAGATTTTGACCCAAGTAACAACATGCTCAGCCTATTCCAATGAACTTCCACTGATCTTTTACAAGAAAAAAAGACCATTATTACTGTTCTTCCTTATGTGCTTTTCTTCCTACATGTACAAAGGAGAGATTACTGAAAATGAAAGTCTTATGTAATGCCTTGTAAAAGGCTTTGACTACTTTCTTAAAAATATGAAACCTCAAAAGATTAAAACCACAAGGCTTTATGGTTACTCTCTAGCATTAAGCAGGCCAATGCTCACGACGTCAAATTGCAGCATTGTAACATTCATTTTGAGTTTATCCCAGTCTGAAAAATCCAAACAATTTTTCCGGCTTATGAAGGGTTAGATTGTCCTGTTACAATTTTCTTCATTTGGAAAACGTATTTCCTCCCAGAACCAAGTATCTCTCAATCTCCTCTTATGGATTGTTCAAGAAATTCACAAATTACACATTCAGTATTTCAAAATAGAACCAAAAGKCAAAAAGTGTGCAATGTTGCTGGATTTCAGTGATTAGGTACAAGTAAGACTTGGCAGGAAACAGATCTAAACATAATGGTCAGAGAAGAGATGCTGCCTAATTTCTGTCTAATATTCTACCAACTAAAGCATCACCTCGAAGTGTCGGCTGGGATACATGAGTGCCTGCAGTACAAGAAACATATCTAACATACCTTTTTTTGAAATTCCTTCATGGCCCACTAAGGTTGGCCCCTTCCTAGTTTGCTACTTGTGCCTATTTTTACAACCCTTTAGTCCATATACAAAGTCAGGCACTTTAAAGATAGCTTTGGGTACTACGATGTCTACATCTTCTTAAGGGTCTGTGTCACAATGTTTAGCCCTCCAGAAATATACTAAATTTCTGAAGTCTAAAATATACTAATTAATTAGTCTAAATATACTAATTTCTATTTTTAATAATTTTATTCTTCTGCTTCTGAGGCTGAAACTTTTATTCTCTTAATATCCCCATTTATCTCCACTATATACATGTTTAACTGAGATTTGAAGCAAGTTAGGCTCCCTATAGCAATTCATGTGCTGGCTCAGGGACCTGAGGGTACCCCAGGGCTTGGCTGTCCCCACCCAGCCCCTGGGACTCCCCTCACCTGCCCACAGCCCAGGGCCCCATGACAGCCCTCAGGGCAATACCACTGCAGAGCCAAGGTGAACTGCAAAACTATTAAAAAACAAGCATTTTGACAAGTATTTTTGTGATATTTTATAACAACCAAAACTTATAACAACTGCGTTCCCCCCCATTTTTCTACAGTTTTGAACAACACAGGTGTTAAACTGACTTCTCAATGGCTAACCTTCCTCTTGATTACTAGTCTAAACATCAAAGTGCAAAAGGGCATATCATTAAGCAGAAATATTTTGTAGATTTCAAATAGTCWGATCCTGAATTAAAAATGTTTTCCTTTGAAAATATTTACAAATATTTGTGTTTTACTAGACACTCATTCTATGTTATTACACTAGTTGTTGCCTGCAATGACATTTTCTCCTCTTCCTATGACTCTAAATAGGCACATGAAATACCTTTTTATGTACATTAGAAGATGTGCAAATGGTGCCATTATGTGCATTCTGCAGGGATATATTCCAGTAGAGATGGAGATTTAGCCAGGTAAAACCTGCTTACATTTGGGCAGCTCTAATGCAATATGTAATGATGACTCCCTTAGGAAAACAGATTTTAAGAAAATAAGAGAAGGATGCATTACTAACCAGGTTACATGAACTGCTGGTTGCACGTGTTATCCCTGGCASAGTCACACTGCAGCAATCACATGTGCTGCCTTGTGAACCACAGCCTTATTCACAAGCAGTAACACATGGAAGGCAGGGATGAGGGCGGCTGCATCTGGCTTTCAACAGATCATCTTATAGTCCAGCCCTTTMAAAACCTCTCAGTCCTGAGCAGGTTATGACCCTTCAGAAATATACAGGCAGAGCAAGAGATTTAAATGAATATTTGGCATCACTGACACAGAATACTGAACATGGTGAYGAATCCACTTAAGAGAGTAGCTCCCATCCCCTTTATCTCAGATGCACTCAGAATTAATGTTATGTCTCCTGACTCCTGATAGGCCATATTTAGCAAATGATGGACCAGCATGTGTTCCAGCTTTGTTTTKATACTCTTGGCACATAATTCCATCAAAATACCTCTATCCAGAAGGTTTTGTTGCTTAAAGAAGCATATCCAGCAGCAATTACTGCATAATTACAGAACTTTTAAATAGATTACCCAGGTCTAAGCGAGCTGGAGAAACCTTCCCCTGGAAAGAGGGCAGAAATAACAAAAGAAAAAAGCTTTTCATTCCTAGTGAAAAGAGACAGCCCAAAAATCAGACAACCCAAACCTCATTTGGTTTTGATTCAAGTATTTGAACCTTATTATGAGAAAAATGTTGCCTCCCTGGCAAGTTTGTTTCAAACTTGGTCTYGGGAACCAAGTAAGGTACCTGTACCTTTGCCATTAGATATAAATTATAATAACTCTGCTTGGAGTGGTTATTTATGGTGAGAAGATATTTAAAAAAAAATTAAAACATAGTCAAGAAAAATGTGTGAAAAGACAGCAATGGTTTAAAAATAAATGACAGAAAAATGCAAACAACTTTCTTTCTGAGGAGGTGGCCTTCTACCTAATAATGCTGTTCTTTATTTAATTTCCTTATAATAACGGTGAAAGGAAACAATCTTTTCCAGCCTTAAATCTTGGGCTTTCATAAGGATGGCTTATATGCCAATCTCTCATATTTTTTTGCTCTGCATSTTTGCTTTTACTGAGCATAGTTACCATAGAGACAAACAATTCCCAAAGGCTTTCTGCCCCCACATTCTCTCAGTAAATTGCTGGGGAAGGAGAGGCTTTAATATCTTASTATCTATGACTTTTTCTTCCCTCGGTCCATATTCAGCAACAAAAAAAGAAAAAATCCTTCTTTCCTCCCCATTRAAACACTGCCAAAGCTGACACAGACACACCAGAAGTCAGCATGTCCTCTTCATTAGAGCTGAACAATCAAAATGAACAGAAAGGAAACTGATCTGTATTTCATTATTGAATGCATTTTCAGCTGTCTTTTTGAAACAGACCATGTAGTTTGTTTATATAGATTTTTCATTACTTACTTATAATACATATACTGCCAAATAATCTTCAGCATGCAACAGTGAAATGTACTTAGTAGRCAAACTTACATTGTAAGTACCAATTATTTCATTTGGAGAAAGAATTTTGGAAAACTTAACAGATTAAGTTGATTCTTTCTGACTCATAAAAATGTATATATTTCTATTAAAATAAAATGGTTTCTATGTGATCTATTTCTGGTTCTTCAAAATATTCTAAAAATTCTAGCAGATAAAAGCTAAAATGTGTATTTTAAAAACTAAAGGAGACCACCTCCATTAAAGATCAGTTTCCTTCAGTGTTTTTTGAGAGAAAGCTATTATAAATTTTCATATATCTTTTCCATATCTTATGGTTCTATTTCATTTACAAGACTAGTACTGGATGGGGTCAAGGAGGACAATGGACAGACATTAAGCAAAGTAAATTAAGAGGATGTCCTTTTCCATTATCATGTTCAGAAAGTGACAAGAGCTTTCAGAAAGACTGACAGCTATAATCATAGGCTTTTGTTCCTTTTTCTTCTGCAAAACGTTGCATAGTTGTACTCCACCAGTATTCCTAGACTTTATTTCTCTGAATGAGAGACTAAACGAATTGAGGAAGTTGTACTTAACCTTTCTGCTTCAAATGYTGAAATTCCTCTGCCTAAAATACTGGGATTACAGGTATTAAAATGCAATTATCACATCTGACTTATGAAGGAGGGCACAAAGTGGCTTTGAAGATCATGCAGCTTTGCTCAAAGACTGAAGAGACTGTGAAGGTAGYATCACGAGAGCTTGCTTTGAAGTTTGTAGTACAAGTAATTTGCAATCTCTCATCTCCAGTTTAATAAACTGTCTTTGTCCAAACTCTCTCACTGAAAAGCCTCCAGTTAAAGGAAAGTACAAATCAGGATGCAAGTCAGTCAGGAAAAACAAAGGAAATATAGTTAGAGGCTGTAGGACTGAGCAAACATCGTCTTCCTGGTAAGTGTTATAATTACAATTGATTCCAAAAAGCATTTATCTTCAAAGACTWAAGAGGAAATGTTCTAACATGAACAGGTTTTAATTATTTTTTGCTGTTGTTGTTGTTTCAAATATCTTACTGAATTTAACATGATAATAAAAATAAATAAGCAAGAATATAGAATAAAAGTCTAAGAGATGGGTATTGATTCAATCCTYCACCATCTGTAACAAGAAAGGAGGATTGGGATCAATATTAAAGAGTTTATAACTAATATTGATATTAACAGCTGTGAAGTACAAGCATGAAAGGCGACAGTTGGAATTATCAGTTCAGCTCCCAATTTATTTTTGCCAAGAATTCCTGCCCAAATAGCAARAGCAGCAGAAGAGACATCAGTGAAGATGAGGTTGTACAAAAACACCAGCCTGAGCTACTGAGGCATAAGCATGTGCGCTCCAGTTGAGTTTGCTGTAGTAAAGGAATAATCTCTAGCAGAAATGTGGCAGAAAAAGAATACACCAAGTATTACTTAAGGAAAATTGGAGTGAACCCACAGATCAGCTTGAGGTTGATAACTCCTCTACAATGCCTGAAAAATATTCACATAAATTAATATAGTTGTCTCCAGTACAAATAAAGTCATATTCATGCAAAGCTTCTGCCAAAATGTTTAAATAGAGTAAGAAATTCCTGAAAACAAACCCTCAGAATAATTGTCAAGGGACCTGAAAAAAAATGTGAGGCTGTAATTTTCAACTAGACATTACAAGCAAGAGTTACCACATAAATTGATTTCTATATCTTGCGCAGACATTTCAGCATTGAACTTAGCTTCTTAACTCCCTTAAATACATTTGTTAGATTTACATGAAGTCTCCTTCTCCAGCTACTTCCACTCTCGTTAAGACACATGTAAGTACCTTGTTCATTACTGGGACCATTTTTTCGTTTTAAACAYGGACAATATTATAAATTTGTATATGTTCAGCACTGAAACAATCCCAGAATCCACTGAAGTTGCAAAAATTGAGATTATTAAAATGTGCATCTATTTATATAGAATTAAAATTAGAATAGAAGAGAACAACAGAACAGGATAAAACAGAACAGAACAGAACAGAATAGAATAGAAGACTAGACTAGA